AGCACGCTGATTCCAAAAAATCAAACCGCACTTTCGTATTTTTGTCAAAAGGGTCCCCCCTTTTGAGATTTTTTCTGAAAAACTTGAAAAAAAAAGTTGCAAAGATAATTTTTCCTAACTAATTCGAGCACGCTGATTCCAAAAAATCAATCCGCACTTTCGTATCTCTTCGCGTTCGGAAGTTACACTCGAAAATCGCGATATTTTTGTCAAAAGGGTCCCCCCTTTTGAGATTTTTTCTGAAAAACTTGAAAAAAAAAGTTGCAAAAATAATTTTTTCCAACTAATTCGAGCACGCTGATTCCAAAAAATCAAACCGCACTTTCGTATCTCTTCGCGTTCGGAAGTTACACTCGAAAATCGCGATATTTTTGTCAAAAGGGTCCCCCCTTTTGAGATTTTTTCTGAAAAACTTGAAAAAAAAAGTTGCAAAGATAATTTTTCCCAACTAATTCGAGCACGCTGATTCCAAAAAATCAAACCGCACTTTCGTATCTCTTCGCGTTCGGAAGTTACACTCGAAAATCGCGATATTTTTGTCAAAAGGGTCCCCCCTTTTGAGATTTTTTCTGAAAAACTTGAAAAAAAAAGTTGCAAAAATAATTTTTCCTAACTAATTTGAGCACGCTGATTCCAAAAAATTAAACCGCACTTTCGTATCTCTTCGCGTTCGGAAGTTACACACGAAAATCGCGATATTTTTGTCAAAAGGGTCCCCCCTTTTGAGATTTTTTGTGAAAAACTTGAAAAAAAAAGTTGCAAAGATAATTTTTCCCAACTAATTCGAGCACGCTGATTCCAAAAAATCAAACCGCACTTTCGTATCTCTTCGCGTTCGGAAGTTACACTCGAAAATCGCGATATTTTTGTCAAAAGGGTCCCCTCTTTTGAGATTTTTTCTGAAAAACTTGAAAAAAAAAGTTGCAAAAATAATTTTTCCTAACTAATTCGAGCACGCTGATTCCAAAAAATCAAACCGCACTTTCGTATCTCTTCGCGTTCGGAAGTTACACTCGAAAATCGCGATATTTTTGTCAAAAGGGTCCCCCCTTTTGAGATTTTTTCTGAAAAAATTGAAAAAAAAAGTTGCAAAAATAATTTTTCCCAACTAATTCGAGCACGCTGATTCCAAAAAATCAAACCGCACTTTCGTATCTCTTCGCGTTCGGAAGTTACACTCGAAAATCGCGATATTTTTGTCAAAAGGGTCCCCCCTTTTGAGATTTTTTCTGAAAAACTTGAAAAAAAAAGTTGCAAAAATAATTTTTCCCAACTAATTCGAGCACGCTGATTCCAAAAAATCAAACCGCACTTTCGTATCTCTTCGCGTTCGGAAGTTACACTCGAAAATCGCGATATTTTTGTCAAAAGGGTCCCCCCTTTTGAGATTTTTTCTGAAAAACTTGAAAAAAAAAGTTGCAAAGATAATTTTTCCTAACTAATTCGAGCACGCTGATTCCAAAAAATCAAACCGCACTTTCGTATCTCTTCGCGTTCGGAAGTTACACTCGAAAATCGCGATATTTTTGTCAAAAGGGTCCCCCCTTTTGAGATTTTTTCTGAAAAACTTGAAAAAAAAAGAAAAATAATTTTTCCTAACTAATTCGAGCACGCTGATTCCAAAAAATCAAACCGCACTTTCGTATCTCTTCGCGATATTTTTGTCAAAAGGGTCCCCCCTTTTGAGATTTTTGTCAAAAGGGTCCCCTTTTGAGATTTTTTGTGAAAAACTTGAAAAAAAAAGTTGCAAAGATAATTTTTTCTAACTAATTCGAGCACGCTGATTCCAAAAAATCAAACCGCACTTTCGTATCTCTTCGCGTTCGGAAGTGACACTCGAAAATCGCGATATTTTTTTCAAAACTTGAAAAAACTCTTTGCGTTTGTGAGTTTTACTCGAAAATCGCGTTATTTTTTTATAATGAATTTTTTCATCATATTTATTGAAAAGTATTTATTATTCTTTCCAAATAGGGAGAAAAATATGGTATTTTGACACAAAAGGCGCCTGATACAAGGGATACAAGTGACATTTATAAAAATGTAGTTATGTACAGAAAAATATAGTAAATGGTACATTTTAATTTTGATTACAAATTAGTGTTTCGCTGATAACTTTTTAAAATACTAATACTAAGACTAATATCAATACTAATATTAAAATGTTATTATTTATTCAGATAAAAAATCAGTATATATACACACAGTAAAACAAACGATTTTGGGTTTTCGAGGCGTAGACTACATTAATTATTTTAAAAACATAGATAATTGTTGGATCACTTGATTAATGTTTGTCTAATAGAGTGGTTTATGATGGGAAAAGCTCTCGAGTGAAATTGAAACATGCTGTAACAAATAAATGGGCGATGGTCAAACGAATTCTAATGGCGCGTGGAATTGCCGTAACAATGCCGACGAAATGGACAGTGGTCATTTTGCGCAAGGCGTTCGTCCCCAAATGAAAACAAAATCGCTTGACATCTGGCCACTTCACTAACACGGCCCGATTGTTTTGAATGTTAAATCAAGTTGACCATTGTAAAATGACATTTTCATATTAATTTTATTATCAGTTTGCCTCTAATGCAGTCAATGCAGCCGTTATGCGAAGTTTATGAATTCATAAGTTATATTTCTCCATAATTAAGTTTAGTCGCTTTGACAATAGCGTTTGATTCGGAATACGTTTGTCTTTATCGAATATTGGAAATTGATTGATCTGTCAATTAGCAATCAGTGGTTTAAACTGCAACGTAACTGTTCCTGTTTATTATAACAATAACTCTATAATTCTCAAACAGTTAAACGCGCGGGATTGAATTGAAAATCAATCAATCATCTTATTAACCATTGGGGTTGTAAATCTACTCCTTCACATCGACTGTCAATTCAAATGATTAATTTTTACTTATTGATTTTACCTACTTCCTGACTGTATAAGCAATTTTCTTTCAAAATGTATTTCGCGAACTCCTAATGTCAGATTAGGTATTTAAACATTTTGTATATGTATTTGGCACCCGATGTATGATGCGGTATGCAATAAAATTGCCCGGGCAATAATAATATATTATGTATCAAGTTTGATAAACGCTATTTTATACTTGAATTTAATTTAGGCACGAGCGAGCTTGCGAGCGAGTGCCTAAATTAATCAGTGTATAGAAAAGTTTATAAACGAGGTGCATACTATACTTTTTCTACGACAAATACTTATTATTATCTTAAAATGATTTAAATCAAAAATTTGTATAGAGCGCCATCTATGAAACAATAGGGGAATCTGTGTGTCACCGTCAAATGTCAAATTTTATAAACACAGATTATAAAGGTTATAAATCGAAATGTATTTCTTGAAAATTGACAGTTTTTCACAGTGAAAGTAAAGAAAATGCTCTATGAGCACTTTACAGTGGAGTCCGTGCCCGAATTTAAGTTATAGTTTACTGCCGGCGAAATTAAAAGGTCAGTACAATGTTCATATAAACTTTTCAAATATTTGCGTTGAGAAAATATTTAACACTTTTGTATTGAGATAATAAAATAATTTTCACATTTAGTATTATTTTACAAGAAAGGCACATTATTTTAACGATTGTATGACATTTGACAACTGTCAACTAACTTAAAACACCCAAAATTTTGATTTTATAGGTTGGCTATACTTTAAACAGCATAATATTTTGCATATTGGTTATAATATTTTTATGATTTTTCTAGTACTTAGGAGACTTTTCTGGCAATACATTTTGTTTAACACCAAAGAAAATCATTTTTTTCTTCTTTAACATTAACAGCCGCTTATTGTAAATAAGTAAATTAAGGACAGCATGGCGAATCGATTTTGACATTAACTGTCAAACCAATGACTGTGATACCAACTATCTAAAGTAAAATTCGACCAAATTAAATTTAAGGTTTTTTATAGAATTTTTGCAAAATTGATAAAATAGCCTAAAGAACTCATGTCATAAGAATCTTGATCGAGAATATTTGTTGAATAAAAACAGAATGTTATTCATATTTTGTATACATTAAGATGTTCACCCCTTTCGATATAATGGTTTATCAACACAATTAATACATTTAATTGTAATCGTAAAGGGGTGTTTTTTTGTGACTTTTGATGAGTGCCTGACATTCGTACAAATTATTTCAATGCATTTTAATTACTTTAAAGTCCGTTTTAAATCGATTAAAAATTTAAAGACCGTACGAAATTAAACAATTAATTTCAGCAGATGCTTGTATTTTATTTAAACATCGTTTTACGTGATATTTTATTATCCTTTGGATTATATCGTAAGTCAGTAGACAGATTTTACTATATTATACAATAGATATTTATTTTGTGCGAACCTATAAACTTTGACAAAACCTTTCAATTAATTTAAAAATCACGTACTTTAGTTTGAACAACATTATTCGGTCAAATTTGTAAGGATTGTGGGAAAGCAAATAAAATTTCATTTTGGATTAAAATCTACGTCATATTGGCACATGGAGAACATTATTCAATACCAGATCGCCATATCGAGTTTTTTTATTTTTTTAAAGTGCGTACTACTCTCAATATTGAAATGTTGCCAAATCCCTTACTGTAAAATATCCATTAGAAATATGAGTTGGGTCTTATGGTCACGTGTTTGAGAAAAACGGAAACAATAGACGCAAGATCAACGCGTGGCTAGCGCACGTCCAGATGACGTCATAATTCAAGTCCTTTGAAGTAAAATTGCTTGATTTAATAGCGGCCAAAATTTACCAATTAAATGATTCATATTTGTCGAAAGTAATTACTAGAGGCGCGTGCGCAACAGTATCAAATTTTTTTTGAGGGTTGTACAAATATTTGTTAATTAATTTTCATGGGAATGTATATCAATTCTTCTAAATAAAACGTCCAAATATATATTATTATTTTTATTTTATATATATACATATTCCTTAAAAATATACATACTTAGGTAAATAAAATTATAATTTATTATTTCACAGCCAATAAGAAAAATACAAAGCACAAAAATTTAATAATATTTACATTTCCACTGCCTTTCCTCAATACTCTCGTTAAATTTATTTTCATTATCTTCGTTGTTGTTATTATTATTAATATTTTTACAAATGCAAGGTGTTAAATCATAATCAAGAATTGTTATTTCTGTTGATATGCTGCTTCGTCCGCAAGTCGACATGGAAATTGATGACTTATATTTTTTTCTGTGTGACACTTTGTTTTGTATGGAGTGGCTTAAGCTCTGGAACACCTGGAAAATAGAAAGAGGTCAAACATTTTAACTCAATGTTAGGATTAAGTGTTGTTTACCTTAATGCATTGGTGTCCAGATCTCGAAAAGAATTTTCTGATGGCCATGTTAGCGTGCCGAGGTTGTTTCACTTTGTGTATAGAATTGATCCACGCGAATCTCTTTATATCATCCCCACCCCCGCCCGCGCTTTTGATTACACTTGACTTGCACCCTATGCCAATCCACCCTCTAATTATGTATTATAACCAGCAAAATAATTTTCCCACCGAATTTGTTTTCGACAAATTCACACGCTCCACTTTATTTACATTTTAGTTTATCGATGCGATATTGTTTAAGTAATTGATTTGTCTTGTTTTTAACAAAATGACGTCAATTTAATTTAAAACTCTATACATAAGTATATTGTACTGTAATTGTTTTTTGATAATAATGTATGCACACATACAAGCAAAAATATATGGCGCGTGTAATGGTGAATTATTGCGTATTGGGGTAAAAAATCGGACATTTGCATCCCTGTTTTTGGTCGATTGATTGCCAAAACAATAAATAGTTCCGTGCTGATTGATATGTCAAATAAACAATACAATAGTAGTGATTCATTTCTACTTTTTATTTCGCGAACAATTAACAGATATAAATATGTCAAGAATAGAAAAATTAAAACCTAGTAATTACTTTTACAAATATTGCTTGCGACATAAAAAAACGGTTAAATTATTTGTTTAGCAGGTGGTTTTTGATACGGAACGATGCGGGCATTTTGTAGGGGACACTACAGTAGAAACTATTTTATCATTAAAGCAAATACCTACAGAAAAAATGCTTAGGTACCTAGTCGCAATCAGTCGTGTGGCCAAGATTTTAAACAAAAAAAATCTCACTTTAAGATATCAATTATGTGCCTATTTCCCTATTTGAAAGGTACCGCAAAGTGTAAAAGGGCCATAGGCGTGTGCAGGCGGCCGTATATGAGAGACCGCTTCCCAAGTATTTCCCACGTTTTCTACCCTTATATAAGTCATGTCATTATAACCCCTACCACTATTTAGTATTGCTACTATTTGCATTTACCGTATTCATTCTTTCTTTCGATGTTTTCAATTTCAACTTGGGGATTTGATACTTTATTTTATTATTACCCACACACGCATACTTAATTCACCTAAAAAAAATTATACATGGGTACCATTTTTATTATTTTAGGATTTTAATTAAGGGTGGTCTTGTATTATAATACATGTATGTAAGTCAAAATAAGACAAAAATCTAAATAAATATTTTTCCTAATTACGTATGTTTAAAAGATACAGGGTGATAAAGTGTTACTTATCATATCAGTTTTTTTAATATAACTTCTACTATGGTAGACTTGGAAAGGTGATATTTTGCGAACAGTCACTTACTAGCAAAACACATATTCACACATAATTACAATTATTCGAGTGAACACAGTGTCGTAGAAACAGGGGTTGCATGAGCTTATTGTCCCATACAAACTTTGAGGTTAGGTTTTTATACCATTTGATGCAATTTTTTGATTACTTTTAAAAAGGTGTATCTTCAATAAAATAAACCGTTTCCGAGATATTCGAGATTACAATAATTGTTATTTCGCATTAAAGGACTAAAAGGTATATAACAAATTTTTTAATTGAAAAAACTACATTTTTATTTAATGTGACGGTCAGTGCAAAAATCCTGAGGCTCATGGAATGCCCTTTTCAGTTTTTTCAATTAAAAAATAAAATTTGTTATCATATACCTTTTAATCCTTTTAAATAATGCGATTAACAATTATTGTAATCTCGAATATCTCGAAACGGTTTATTTTATCGAAGTTTGAGAGGTACACCTTTTTAATGGTAGCCGAACTGTGTAATCGAAAAATTGCATCAAATGTTACAAAAACCTAACCGTTTCTACGACACTGTGTTCACTCAAACAATTGTAATTAAGTGTGAATATGTGTTTTGGTAGTAAGTGACTGTTCGCAAAATATCACCTTTCCAAGACTTTCATAGTAGAAGTTATATTAAAAAAACTGACATGATAAGTAACACTTTATCACCCTGTATCTTGGAAACATAAGTAATAAGGAAAAATATTTATTTAGGTTTTCGACTTATTTAAACTTGCTCAATCTTTTTCTAAATTTATGCCAATTAGTTTAGGGACACCTTGTATATTAGCAACATTGTAAAATTTTAAATTTAACCCTATCAAAAAAATTAAACTTTCCCCAACAGTACAGAAAAAGCCCATTTGTGGTAATATTTAAAAATACAAGTGGTTAAAATAACTCCTAAAGTTTGTCCATTAATTTTGGTTCCCTAGAATTTTCGATATTGTCAAATATAAAGGTACTATACTACTAAAGTAATGAATGAATCTTGAGGAAGATTCATATTTTCAGACAAACCGCCTATACAACTGAAAAAATTTGATATCTGAAAACTGTATTTTAGATTTTAGAACATGCAGAACTTTTTATGAAGAATTCGTAAAACTAATAATAAGAAAGTTTCGCATATGCTGACTGTATATTTATAGAGTATTCTCTTCAGGTAATACTAAAATCGACATCCGTTTCAAACAAAGATGCTCCCCTTGTATCTCCGAAATAAAAAAAACTTGAAAGCTTATATTCATTGAATGAGATGACCCCTTCTTGGCAAAAATACCGTCCGTCCATATTTGCATTATGTACAAAAATAAATTGCAACCCTTATTTTGGTGGATTTGAAAACGAGTTTTTGACCATTTGACCATTGTGTCGGCACGTTTTTTTCAGAAAGATCTGGTCAAATTAGGGATTTGAAAAATATGAATAAATTATTTTTCATATTGTCCAGCACGTGCAGTCTTACACAGGAAGCAGAAAAGCGTTATAATCCCCTTTGTTCGTTTCCTCATTTAAAGAATAAAAAACAATATTATATAAATAATTATTTATTGCTTATAATGATAAAAATCACAATACTCGTCACTATAGTGAGATCATATAATAAATATATTACAAAAATAGGCCTGTGTGGCTGTGGACTAAACTTAACCTACTTAGATTAATAAATAAAATTAGGTACATAATGACTAAAACCTCCTTGTGGCGTGTAAAGCATATGAAATGGCAAGCGGTTTAAAACACTGGAGGGGCACTTAATTTCACTGTACAAATCCTACTAAAACTCTTGCTAATAGGCTACTTCGGCACCCCACGGCCTATAGGGCTTCATTCCCTGGGACGTGGGTATACTCTGGCCGTAATTTTGGTGATGGTTCGAAGGCGGGATGGAAAAACTGTTCGGGTATTGGTGACCGTAGTGGAGAGCGGAAGCGGAAGTAGTAGTCAACGGCGTTAACGGAGTTAACGTTGAGGTTGACGGAGCTAAACGGCTTGAGTCGCTGGTAGCTGCAGGCACCGTGGTTTGTGCGCATGACGTCGACACGTCAAAGTGCCCCAAGTCGTGCATGTTCTGATGGTGAATCGGAGGTGGCGCCGATTGGTGGTTCAAAGAGTGATTCGACGCCGGCGACGGCGGCAACGGGTTCAAAGGCGTGTAATTTTGCGCACCGCCGTACCCCCAAGTCGTCGCGGCCGGCTGTTTTGTAGCCAACTCTCTCTGAGCGGCGCAGCATTGCAAATGACTCGTCAATCTCAACCTTAACGGGTTCTGCACGTCTAAACCTTCAATTCTCTCCAAATATCTAGCCACCTCGGCCACGCACTCCCTAAATCCCATGCCGTGATAATCCATAGCGTACTTGTGAGGATCGAAGGCGAAAGAATCCAAACCTGCAAAGAAATTAAACGAATTAAATGAAATTCATTCAAAAACCTGTTGCACAGATACACAACGAGTTCCCACGATACGAAACTACAGCTGGTACAATAACATTCCCACGACGCGTCGCATATATAGTTAACCCCTTTTATGCACCTGCCTTACTACCTTTACAGTAACTTAGTAGCTAAAGCTTTCGGCATCAATGAGTACCTCTCGATTGTTCATAACGGCTTTGTTTTACTTTCAACAGGTTCACTTTCATGATTTTGATTAATTGTTAATTATATTGTAGAGCTAGTCCAGTACAAATTTCTAGCACCTACTCGTTTAGTGTTGCAGCGTTCTATAGATTTTTATACGTTGCTTTTTGTTTTTTATTATAAACAAATTTGGAAATGTTCCCCAACACCAAAACAGAACACAAAGTGATTAAAGTACTTTTCAGAAGCGAAGTGTAACTCAGTTTTGTTTTGGTGTTATCATATCACCATAATATATTATATATTATATTATATAGTTATAAATGTGTGGCTTACCTTTAGAGTGCAACATTTTTAGATGATCGACAGTCATTTGCAGTATCTCAGCTTTTTCCAACTTCGCTGATCCTTGTTTTTCGAACGCGGTAGGAACAAGTCTTTTGAGTTCGGACAAGGACATGTTTATTCTATCTCTGCGCTTCTTTTCGATGACACCTCGGCGTTTTTTCCGGGACATCATTTGACAACTGTCAGGGTCACCTGGTGAAGTGCACCTTGAAGAAGAAAAATCTAATTAGATCACTGTTATCACTTGGTACCAAAGTTTATATAAATATTTGTCATATTCCCCAACACCAAAACAAAACACAAAGTGCTTAAAGTACTTTTCGCCAACGATGTTGTCATCTTCAGAAGCCAAGTGTAACTCAGTTCCACTTCACTTCTGAAGATGGGGAATATGTCTAATATTTGTTAGACATACACTCCTGAAGTTGGGGAATATGTCTAATATTTGTTTAACATATCACCAAGTTGTACCAACGTTTATGAAATTTGGTAAAAATATAGAGAGAACTTACTGTTCTTTGGAGTCTTCGGAAAAGACATCGTCGCAATCGTCGCTCTCTGAGTGAGGCCTCTTGGAGGCCCTCACGGGCTGCCAGGAGGAGCCCGGGTTGTTGGCGGAGTATCCCCAGTGCAGCGGCGTGTTCTGCGAAAGATTGTGGTCCATAATTGTCACTTTCACTGAGACACTTGTGGCACTAAGTAGAGTATCGGAAATGAGCGCGTGTCGGCCGTTTGCAGTTTTAGTGGGACGCGTGTTTCATCGAATGCAAGAACTTTGAATGTGTTGTGCCCTGTTGATCAGCCGTCGGCCTTAACGCCGTTCTGCCACGTTTTTACCCCCACCTAACTACCCCCACCCGGCGACGGCTACCACACGCGACACATATCACCCTCTTGCTTTTATTTGCGCTGAGGGTGTATGCGTTTGCTTCTTCTAGCGCGTTTCATTCACCGCGGTGCACCGGCCTGGTAGCGCGTGTTTCCTAATAACCAAATTTTCCCACATCAAATATTATTGCTCTTCCGCGTGCCGCCTTACTATCAAGATTTTATTATTTAATATCTATTATTAATTTAGATCATACAACAAATAATATACAAACATTTTATGTCAGCTATTTTAAATTTGATATCGGCGATTTAAAAAATTAAAAATTGATAATGACTTCATTATAACACCGCTTTCGGTGCTGTAATGAGGTACTTTACCCCACCCAAAATTTTGCTACTTTAAACAGCATACTAGTTAAATAATATTTTGGGTATTGGTTATAAAATTTTTATGATTTTCCTAGTACTTTTCTGCCAATAAATTTTGTTTAACACCAAAGAAAATCCTTTTTTTTCTTTAACATTAACAGCCGCTTATTGTACGAGGTGTGTTCAGAAAATAACGGGAATTGTTAAATTTCGTGGGTTCGAAGTTTCCGGTTGTAATAAAATTTTCTTTATTACGTTGGTATACATGCCCCCGAAGTATGATAAAAACTTTAGCTGTTTTCATTGTTTACTTTGTCTGTGGCAGCCGCTAAGGTTAGACGTGTTTTATAAGCTCGGCGATTTTCGTTCGCTAAAAGAAATGGATCAAAGTATTTGTATCCAATTTTGCTTAAAAAATTAAATAAACTCTGTGAAATGTTAACAAAGGCCTATAGTGAGCTTGCTATAAGTAAAACAAGAGTTTACAAGCGGTATAAGAGTTTCCAAGATGGCCGTGAAGACGTTGAAGATGACGAACGCCCCGAACGCACAAGCACATTAACAACCGATAAAAACATGGAAAAAGTGGAAGAAATGGTTATAAACCATCAGAGAAGTCGCTGATGATGTTGGTATATCGATTGGCTCATCCCATGAAATTTTTTCGAATGTTTTGGGTATGAAACGCGTGGCAGAAAAATTTGTTCTAAAATAGTTAAATTTTGAACAAAATTTTTGGCCAAAAACAATACTGTAATGATGCCGCAGCCTCCATATTCGCCAGACATGCCTCTGACTGACTTTTTCCTATTCCCAAAAATAAAGAGAACCTTAAAGGGCCGTCGTTGTTCAAGCATATATGACATTAAAAGCGCATCGCTGAAAAAACTAAAGGCTATCCAAAGACCGAGTTTTAGAAGTGTTTCGAGTATTGGAAGAAGAGCTGGCACATGTGCATAATATCCAATGGGGACTATTTTGAAGGCGACAACATTAATGTAGACGAATAAATAAATATTTGTTTCAAAATACGAAAATTTCCGATATTTTCTGAACAAACCTCGTATATACGAAAATAAAGTAACATCCCAATAAACATTTTTGACGTAACTTCAGCCCGTGACTAAAAACGCGTTGCTAACTTCAGCCCGTGACTAAAGCGGCATATAAATTTCCATTTCTATTTTGCTGTCCCACCCGTCACAAAAAATAAAATTAAATCTCCGAAACGAGTGAATCTTTTTTGACGGAAAAAAAATAAAAAAGTTTACATTTAAGATTCTAAATAATTAAATGAAAAAACACTAAAATGTGTTATCAAAATTTGGTGAATCATTAAGCATAGGAAGTTTTATTCTCATTTATACCGTACCCAGGTACTTTCCCTTATTTCTAACAGTACTGTGTTCTCTATTATTAGACTGTTCTTAAAAAATTCCCTTTTTATAAAAATCCTATTCATACCTGTTTCATTGAAAATGAATTGTACCACATAACGGGAGACCTTTGCAAAAAAAACTGTACAGTTACTTCCGCGATATACAATTTGTACCTTTTTTAAGATCGAATTTCCGATAATCTTGCCTTACCTTAATGTAGTTTGTTAAAATTAAAATTCTGTGTATATGATGATTTTTAGGCATTGAATAGGAAAGAGGTAATCTTCAGGTAAAAATCATCCTACATATAAAAAATAATTATCTCTTTGCAAAATGTTTGCGAAAGCTGAAGTATTTTTGACTTTGGTCAGATATAAAAGTGATTAACAATTTAAATAGGGTGGTCTTTATATTTTGAAATGGAGGGGAACGTGGGAAAGGCTGTTTTCTGGTCGTCACACCGTAGACACGCGCCTGGCTCAAACTGTATTGTGTTACTAGGCTTTCAGGGAGCGCTCTCCTATTCTAAACAAAACTCGGTAATTGTTACAAGCCGTATTGGTTTTAAGAATAAGATCTTCCCCATAGTATTTAAGTCTTATTTTACATACTCAAGCGAATACGCGTGTCCCAACACGCGATCTGTTTTGTCCTTTATTTGTTACTATTAGTGGCAGCAGTTTTTTATTAAAAAAGTTACAAATTTTATAACAGGCTTATATTATATTTCGGTAAACATACCTATTTCAAGTAGCCTTATTATGCATTTGCAATGTTTCCATATTGTTGATTGTAATTGTGTGTTTACTTCTCACTTAAAGTACACAGCAACTATTTTCTCGGCGTGAATCTTGTTTTGCGAAAAGTTGCGCAACAAATTTGGTTAAAAATAGACCCACCACCCACACCGGCAAACCCTTTGAATGCTTGCTAGATTTAATAAACTGGATTGAAGCACTCGATAAACAACAATATTGCCGAAGTATAAATAAATGTAAAAACTTATTTCAGGTGTTTCCGTGCAATTTCGTCGAGACCGAACATCGAACAGCTTGCCGATTGGCCTGGATGCTTCGCGTTAAAAATACTCGCGAGAAAAATTTTATGGTGTTCGATAATATTCGAATTTAGTCCCGACTCAAGATGTCGGGCGACGTGCAACCAAGAAAAAGAAAAGACAAAAAGAAGAGGAAAGGTGAGTGCAGTTTTTGGTTGTGAATATGTGTAGCTAGCGGACTTTCTATTAATACGTGCACGTGGTAGCTACGCCGGATTTTCAACTCGAAAGTTAACCTCAATTTTGCAGATGATTCCGCGGACCAGGCACCCGCGCCGCCTCAACTACCGCCCCTGATAAGCCTAAATGATGACGTCAACATACACGTTCACAAAGAAGACGGGACCGGGGGAAATATTTGCTCGAAAATCATTTTTATACTCCTATCATCTGCACTCATTGTACTTATTGGACTTATAATCACCGAATATAGAGGCCTCACTGACTGTAAGTTATAAAACCAATAAAACAACTAAAAAACAACAATTTGTCATTTTTAGTGGACACGGTGGATAATGATTCCCGTTACTCACAATACTTTGAAGGATGGGTTGACACAACCGCCGATGACCATGACGATCATGACGACGTAGAAAAAGCGCTTTCACACGAAGAAGAGGATCACGGCCAACACGATGAAGAAGAAGAAGAAGAAGAAAAAGCACTTTCACACGAAGAAGATGATCATAATGACGAAGACGATCACGATGAAGACGAGGATGATGAAGAACAGGCAGCATCCGATGAAGAAGTAGACGCCTCTCAGGAAGACGAGGATGACGATGAAGCCCCGCAAGATGATGATGATGATGAAATTGCCCAAGAGGATGACGACGAAGAGCAAGAAGATGACGACAACGATAGTCAAGTGGATGATGACGATGAAGAAAGTCCACTTAGCGAGGAACAACAACAAGATGACGATGATGATAACGTCAGCCAAGAAGAACCTGCTAATGATGACGATGACGATGAAGATGAAGATCAAAAAGATAAATCACCGGAAGTTCAAGGTGATGATGAAGATGAAAAAGCTGTAAGTGATGAGGTTCAGGACGTGGAAAATACTGGTGGCGATGATGATGATGAAGCCGCAGATAATGAAAAAGTGCGATATTAAATTTTCTTATACTAACCCCTAGCATGATGCTTTTGACTAACATAATGTTCGGTAATTTTTGTGCTCTTGTATGTATTTGAAAATAATGGTGTTTTTTAGGATGATGATGATGATGATGATGAAGCTAAAACTGTCCAAATGGAAGATGAAGCTGAAGATGTCAAAATGGAAGAAAGTGACGATAAGGAAGGTGATGAAGGAGAAGCTGGATCTAATAGTAAGTAAAAAAACGATAGCAACATCTAAAACCCTGTAAATTGTGTAATTATTAAGTAAGTTAGTGAAAAAATTGTAAGTCAGGAAATGCAATAATAAATCTTATTGATCTGAAACTATTTGCAGTGGTGGTTAAATTGGGTGTTGGCTTAGCCCTACTGGTTGTGGCACATGTAGTTCTAATTAAAAAATGGAAATCTGGTCAGTACTTGCATGTTCTTGATGTTATTATCCAGCTTAAAAAACCCAAATGCGTTAATTGTTAGGAACCCTTCATTTCTATGTTTACGTCTTTTGTAAAGCTACATATGCTTCTAGCACTAACCGTTTTGCATTTCCTGGTATTATTTCCTTGTATAAGTTGCCGCTTTTGTTGTGAGAATCGCTATACTATACTTACATAGTTGGTAATATTTTTTGCGAAGCCCCCGAGGAATCTACCAGAAAGGATGAAGCCCACGAACCCACGCCCGATTTATCGAGAAGAAATACTCTAATACCCCCGCCCCCTCTGCAAGAAATCGAGCACGATATAGAAGATGATGGAGAAGGTATTTGTTGATCAAAATGTTTGGAACTACTTACCGAAATGGTTAGTTCTGAACTTTTTGTTCCGTAAAATACAACTCCCGCTTTATATTTATTCCTGTGTAAAAAAAATACTGTGCTCAATAGAATACTCCGACGATGAGGAGGAATATAGTGAAGAAGAGGCACCGGTGGAAACAAAATCAGCAAAACTGAAATATCAGGAATTAAGAACAAACTACACGCGCCCTTTTACATCTGGCAGTGATGAACCCAAGCCGGATGATGAAGATGAAGAGTATGAAGAAGAAGGCAGTGAGGAGGAAGATGAAGTCGATGAAGAAGTCGAGGAAGAGCAAAGCGAAAATGAAGAGTTCAACGAAGACGAAGACGAGGAGTTATTAAAAAGGTTGGAGGAGAAGTACGGGAAATTGGACGCAAAACAAAAAGGTGAAGATGATGAAGAACTCTCGACATGGGAACGTAATAATTAGTTTAAGTTAGATTATAAGATTATTTTGTAAAATTTCGCTTGCTTATTGTTTTTTGAGCTTAAAATTGTTTTTTGTAGGTGTAAATCCTGAGGTTGCAGACGAATCGGATGATGAAGAGTATGCTAATAAAGACATTACAAATCCCGACGATTGGGAGGTTAAGGAAAAAATTGACGAAGCTCAAAAATCCATAAATAACGTAAGTACTGTTAAGTGAATTGTATTACTTTTAAATACTATAAATATGTATTTATTTCATGGCAGGAATAATAAGGAATATCCCTGAAATCCAACATATAATTGTTGATTTGCCTTTGCTGATTGTTATATTTTTTGTAGTTGTTAAGACTTGATTGGAATGTTTCGTGTTTGGTTGTTCAATATTTTATAATATAAAACATTTTGGTACGATTTTATACTTCACCAATTTTTATTAACATTCCGCACATTTTTTAATAAAAATTGTTGACGTCGAACCTATCATTTTTTACGATAGTCTACTAATCTGTGTGTAATGCATTTTTATGTGTGTTTTGTCCTATTAATTTTTTTAAATTAGAACGCTGCTAACGCCATTAAACTCTTTGACGATATCCTACAACAATTCCCATCCTCTCCGAGGAGTCTTTACGGAAAAGCGCAGGCGCTAGACGCACTAGCCGACCAAAAACGCAGCAACGAACTTTTACAGAAAGCGCTAGATCTGTACTTGGAAGTTTTAAATGATAAAAAAACAACAAACACTCTATTTAAAGTTGTTGCCGAGAGGGCCATCAAAAGATTAAGATTCATAGGTGTGTATTTTTTTTATAAATTTGCTGTGTTTGTCACATTGTTTTATTCAGGTCAATACAGAAAAGCCATATCAGTTCAAAACGCGCTTATAGAGAAGTTCCCCGATATTTCTGAATACTCCAATGAACTCGCCGTGACTTATTTGACAGTCAACAGGATTCCCGAAGCTAGAGTTATCCTGCAAAAAGTCCTATCCAAGTGGCCCAACGACGGCTTTGCTTTGGTACACTACGGTTTCATACTTAAAACTGTCGATGATAATCTTGTGGATGGTATTCAATTTTTACAAAAAGGAATACAAACCAACCACAAAGGAGTAATCGATGGGAGATTCTTTTTTCATCTAGGAGATGCCTTGACTAGAGTGGGAAAAAATGATGAGGCACTAAAGGTAAACTAACTACAACAGCCACAGAATTTAGACTAAACCTTTCTCACTTAAGAGTTGCTACATGTAGAGGAAGAGCACTTTTAAATGACTTTATGCATTATGCATAATGCATAACATCATCTAAAAGTACTCTTCATCTAAAGTACCTAATACTTCATCTAAAGTACCCTCCTCTTCATCTAAAAGTACTCTCCCTCTTCAAGGTTTCCAATACATCTTTCACTTCATCTAAAGATCCTTCATATTCATCTAAAGTACCTCTTTATCTAAAGTACCCTCCTCGTCATCTAAAAGTACTCCCCCTTTTCAAACTTGTCCAATATATGAATGTTATGGAGCAATTTGCTTTAGCACGAAAAAATACATTTTTCTCTTTATCTAAAGTTCCTTCATATTCATCTAAAGTACCTCTTCATCTAACGTACCCTCCTCTTCATCTAAAAGTACTCTCCCTCTTTAAACTTGTCCAATACATCTTTCTCTTCATCTAAAGATCCTTCATATTCATCTAAAGTACCTCTTCATCTAAAGTACCCTCCTCTTCATCTAAAAGTACTCTCCCTCTTCAAACTTGTTCAATATATGAATTATATGAAGCAATTTGCTTCAGCACGGAAAAATACACCTTATTCTTCATCTAAAGTTCCTTTATATTCATCTAAAGTACCCTCCTCTTCATCTAAAAGTACTCTCTCTCTTTAAACTTGCCCAATATGTACATGAATGTTATGGAGCAATTTTCTTCAGCTCGGAAAAATACAGTGTGTGTTATTTTTGGGTAGTTATATGAACATGGTGTGAAACATGGGGTGTTTCTGTCAAAATACCAAAGATCCTTGTACAACGTGCCCAGGTTATCTGGAAAACCGTGGTGGAATAAAAACGAAACGCCCTACGATCAACTTTTCAAAGAGCTGGAATCAAACTGGAAAGAAATTAAAAGAGAAGGATTAAACATACTAAATCAGAAAGGATATTTCCAGGACGAATCGGAAAAGTTACGCGACAAAGGGGACTGGAAGCAGTTTGAATTGTACGCTAGAGGGCAAAAGAACGTCGAGAATTGTAAAAAATGCCCGATTACTTGCGGAATAATTGATAGCAATCCTTCTGCAAGGGGTTGCAAACGGGGCCAGACTAAATTCAGCGTTATGCACCCCGGTACGCACGTATGGCCCCACTGTGGCCCTACAAATTGCCGATTAAGAGCCCATTTAGGCCTTGAAGTACCCTCTAACACCTACATTAGGGTAGCGGAAGAGACCAGGTAAAAAAATAAACGCGCATTATAAATTATGCATCAACAGAATTAATTTTTTATAGGAGCTGGGAAAATGGTAAAGTTTTAATATTCGACGACAGTTTTGAACACGAAGTATGGCATAATGGCAGCCAATTTCGATTGGTTTTAATCGTAGATGTATGGCATCCTGAACTAACAGCGCAAGAAATAAAGGGTCTTTCACCCATTTGACTTAAGTAATTAATATATCAATTATATTATTGATAATGTAAATAATGTACAATATCTTTTAATAAAACCACAGAAATATTCAGCCTTTATTCTTTATACGCCAAGTTATGCAATCGTTTTGGAAAATTGCCAAAAAACATATCGACCGCTTAAAAGTTTAATATTCGTAACACTGGCGCCACCTTTGCACAACACTCCTTATACAATGAGGCTTAGTCGAGCTACAGGCGCATAGATGGCGCTTTACTATAGGCAATGTTTTATGACTTTACGGTATATTTGGTGACGTCAGAAATATAAATACAATACGCGATAAACTGTAAATTTTCCAGTGGTATACAAATCTATTCAAGGTAGTCATAGATTTAAACAATGAAATAATATTTGTACGCGTAAATTCTATTTCAAATCTATTTTAATTAATTGCTTACATCGGTATACATTTTGACGTTTATACCATTTAAGTGAACAGCATTCGAGATGAATCTAAATAGTGTACTTCAATCAGGTTAAATTAATAAATTCCATATGTGTCAACGATAAATAAGAGTGACGGAAGATTCAAAAAGATTTCCGCTGTCCAATCTGATAACAAATTAAATAATGCTGTAGGTTTTCAACAACAAAAGGTGAGTTTAAACTTTGACGTGTTGACATCACTTTTACCTTTAAACTTTAACATTTTAGACAATGTTCACGCTGGAAAAGGAGTACCGCAGTTTAACTTACATAGACAATGATACTTGCTTGACAACAAAACGACCAAATTCGACTGTGATCAGTAATATTTACGAGGGAATCCCGGAAACGATATTGCTGAATGTTGTGAGTTGGGTTTTGCTTATTTTATTGTTCGCGATCCTTCGTAACCGAGCTTGGGATTACGGCAGATTAGCTTTGGTGCACACTGAGAAGTGGACGCAACTGTTCTACAAGAACACTGATGATGCCGTGGCAGTTGAAGAATCAAGTGCGGATATATCCATAATCCCCGATACGGGGTGCTTGTGGTTCCCGTCTATTTTTACTATTAGTAGGGACAGAATTTTCGCTAGATGTGGCCCCGATGCACTACACTACCTATCATTCCAAAAGCAGTTGTTGTTGCTCTCCAGCTGCATAACTACTTTCGCTTTGTGTGTTATTTTGCCTATAAATTTTCAAGGGGAATTGCAAGGAGATAAAACCACTTTTGGTCACACTACAATAAGCAATTTGGAGCCGACTTCAATGTGGTTGTGGGTTCATGTTTCTGCAGCAATATTATTTCTCCCTTTGACAATAATGATCATGAGAAAGAGTTCAGTGAGAAAACCCAGCATTACAGCATTGGCCTCGAAAACTCTGATGATCACGCACATATCGAGAAACCACAGGAACTGTGAGGATATCAGGAATTACTTCAACGTTAGATACCCTGGTTTGGAGGTGAGGGACGTCCAAATAGCATACAGAGTGAAACAGCTGATGGAGTTGGAGAAAGAGAGGGAAAAAGTTCACGAGGCTCGAATGTATACCATATCGAACATGAAGCCTGACAGGCAAATTAAAGTGCAGCCCTGGGGTTGCATAGCCTGCTGTCCTTGGAAGCTAGTGAATGCCCTGGATTACTACACTGCAGAAGAGGAGCGATTGAACGATTTGGTGTTCGCTGAACGCGCCGCTGCCCTTAGAAATCCCCTGGGCATAGCTTTTGTGACTGTGGAATCCGAAGAAATGGCCCAATATGTTGTTAGGAGTTTCGAGCCGGGTTCTTTGAGGCACTGGCTGATTGCCAGGGCACCCTCCCCTTCGGATATTAACTGGGAAAATCTGGAGATTTCTTACAAGAACTGGTATTCCAAGGCGATATTGATCAACATTATACTGTTCCTGATTTTATTTTTTTTAACCACCCCAGTGATTTTTGTGAATATTTTTAATAATCTTACGTCGGCGCAGAATAATTTTATAAAGAAAATCAGTCCGTTGCTATCCGAATTTTTGCCTACTCTCATGATATTATCACTGTCCGCGCTTATGCCTGTTTTGGTGGCCTATTCCGACGAATGGATGTCGCACTGGACAAAATCCAAACAAAACCACTCCACAATGCTGAAAACGTTCATTTTCCTTTTATTCATGGTTTTAATTCTCCCATCTTTGGGCCTAACCAGTGCTCAGGCCTTCCTGGAAATATCCTTCCAAAAGAACGTCACTGTGCATTGGAAATGCATATTTCTGGCGGATAAGGGCGCCTTTTTCGTGAACTACGTCATCACATCGGCCCTGATTGGTACAGCTTTAGAGCTGCTTAGGTTTCCGGAGTTGGCCATGTATGCGTGGAGACTTCTGCGCATCAAATCCGAAGCAGAGAAGACCAGCATCCGCAAGGAAATCCTATCAGTATTCCCGTTCGGCATACATTATTCCTGGACTTTATTAATATTCACCATAAGCACTGTTTACAGCCTCACCTGCCCGCTTATCACGCCGTTCGGTTTGCTGTACTTAACCCTGAAACATTTCGTGGACAAATACAACATATACTACGTTTATAGACCTATAACGATGTCCGGGGAGGGTCAGCAAATACACGCGAACGCCGTTAAAATGGTGCAGATTGCTATTTTGCTTCTACAGCTCATAATGGGTGCTTTCTCCTTCATCAGAGGCGGTCTTAATCTCATGACTTTGGTTTCTTTCTTCGGTTTCGGGCTGACGTCGTGTTTCTTCTGCGTACTGAGCCCTTTCCCGAGCTGCAGAAGGTCGGGCTTGAACGTATCGAACGCCCCAGAGGCTCTGCAGCAATACGTGGCCCCAGTTTTGACCAGTTCAAGTGGTATCGAATCTATACACGACCCTATGTCTCTGCCCTCTTCATACGGTTCCTCCAACAACCACGATACGCTGAGGATTAGCCCTGGAGAAGTGGGCAGCAGCGAGGCATAATCGTTCTTTTATTTTCTGCTTCTATGGCTGTGACTTAATTAATAAGTTAGGAAATTTTTATTTTTGTTAATTAGAGGATATTAATTAACCAGGAATCTTTTAAACTAAGATTTTCTCCGTCCCCTTATATTAATCATTTGACTCTTCTTGCAATACAATTTCTGTGGAGGTTAATGTTCCTTAGTCATATTTTAATTGGTCTTCCCTTAAAAGTATTTATTTTAACTATCCTCTAATGTAGCAGCCAATTTAATTACTGTTTTTGTATTTATAAACTACAATGCAAATTTATTTACTACACCTGTTCACATTTAATAATTATTACATAATGAAAATTAATATGATTAATTTCTAAAATAGGACTCTTATTTAATTTAACTGTATAAATCAAATTGGGTTTTTGAAACTATAGTCTGTACTGTATGTGTGATAGCTAAGTATATATTTATATATTATTTTGAGATTGTATCTTTACATTAATAAAAATACTAAAAATAAACATTTTTCAAGTCTCTTTATCCCTTAAACTGTATAAATAATAATTATTTATGTCATTAGGTTAAGAAGTAAGGCTTTTTGTGCTAAGCTCAAGGTTTGACAAGTGAGTGAAGCACAAAAAGGCATACAACATTTTATCTTCAAAGCACTTTATATAGGTCAATTTAATTCAACATCAAAGCGGCCTAACCTCACTTTTTTAGAATCTCATTTATTTATTAGCTAAAAATTACATTAAATGTACAATAATTATAATTATTATTGCTTTTAGAAGCAGTAATAGTTTGACAATACCTAGCAACATGATTTAAGTAGAAATGGATTTTTGCTATTACATTGAATATAGGTAGTTTGGAATGTTTAAGCTGTGTTTAACATTTCATTTCACTGAAAACTTAAAGCAAATTAAAACTTAAAGATAATTTAAATTGTAGAAAAAGAATCGTGCGTTTTCTTGGTTGCCTAGCCTTACTTTTTGTTTTATTATTCATATTTAATTTTACAATAATTTAATGAAAAATATTAAACATTAACAGTAAAACAAACAAATTAGTGCTTATTATAAATAAATTAAACCAGTTTAGTACGTTAATTTCTTAGAAAAGGATTAATTTGTCAAAACAATACCCCTAGCGAGAAATAATCAAACTAATTACCTGCCTCATAAAAATTTTTATCGGCCTAGGCCATAACAAGGTATTTCTTTATCGAATGTTGACAACAATAAAGTTTAAATTATAGACCGCCTGGAGATAAAATGTGTTTTAAAAACAATATTCTGCAGTTTTCAACGCATATAATAAACTATTATTAATAATTGCACAATTACCTACTAAAAAAAATGTTAATGGTAAAAAAATATTATTTTTCATCAAAACTGTAAAATAATTTAGAAAAATTGGGTAAAGTTTTTTACCTCCTAGTCCTTTAATTTTAGGATTACACTGTACAAATTAAAGTCAAATTCAGTAAAAAAGTAGTTTATTTTTCATAGAAAACATTTAACATCATAATAAAAGACAAAAATATAACAATGAGTGACAAACCAAGCGATGGTTTTTACAATGATGTTCACAACTGATAATAGAAAAAAAAATGTACAGCACTGATCTCTATATTAAATTAAACAATAAATTAAAAAAAAGGAATTTGAACCATTTACACTCATTTGCTTTTTGGTTTGGCAACTAATTTTTCGTACTTGCTCTTGCTGACATACCACAACCCCAAAGGAATGGCAAAAGACGGGAAGGTCATCAAGGCAAAAGCCAACCAGTCCCAGTAGTGGGAAGAGAATTTCTTGTCGTAGTCACGGAAAGCAATGATTCCACCCTCACCAGGTTCACTGCTCAAAGACAATTGTACCTAAGAGAAAACATTTTTTTTAATCATGGATAATTTCGTCTTTCTGCCTTACTTCTGAATTATTATATATTATTTATTATAAAGTAAGGTTAAATCTGACAGTTGTCAAATGTCAAAAAATTTCTAAAGTGAGGTTAAAACAGTTTGACAAATGTCAGATTGGGAAAAAGTGAGGTGAAAACCTTGACAGTTGTCAGATAAAATGTCAAATAAAATACTACAGGGATGAAGTTCTTGCAACTTACAGTGGCTGCAGCATCATCAGAAGACTTGTAAGTGGCTTCAGCACTGGTGAAGTTGAAGTAGCCGTACCTCAAAGGCCTGACGACAACAACATGTGTGACGTTGGACTGCGGGGCAATTCTGTCGAATTTTGAGGTTAAATGACCCCCGACAACTTCGAAATTACCAGGATGGAAACCGTTATCGACCAAGTTGACATCAACAGCTGCTGAAGTTCCAACATTGTACAAAGTGTACTTAACTTCAATATCCTTATTTTCTACCAAATATCTGTTGAGAATTTGCTTGGAAACCAAAAGCCTTGGGCCTGTGTCTTCTTCGGTTTCACATAAGGCAACAGCAAAGATTGCCAGAAGAATCGCGAATTTTTTGAACATTCTACAAACACAAATTATGAATTAAAACATTGCTTTTTATGTGAGTTAACTTAATAAACTTGAAGCATATTAAATAAATAACTTACCTGGCGAAGTTTAAAGCTAAACTATTCACTATTTTACTCAGTCTTGTCACAACTATAACTGATCGTGCGTCTTCAAGATTGAGGTAACCAAAAAGTGAAAACACGTCCACGAATCTGCCACGTCCAAACCAAATTGAAAGGTTGGCTTTTTTTAGTTCAACCTCGCCAAAACAGATGGCGCCACTACAATTTTACTGAAATTCCCCCTAAAATTTCATTATTGCTCCCCCAATACTTCCCCGGGTACATTTTCGGCAATTCTTATAATATTTTTGTTGTATTTATTATTTTAAAACATACAAAAAGGTTTTTATAACAAAGTAGGTATGTGTTGGCAACAGTGTGGCTTTAATATAACCTAAAAATCCCTAAACGTCAAATATGTCAAATTTATAAATATTATGCTTTTATTTAACTTAAAGCCAAAAAACTCAGGATGTCATTTAATGCAGACTCTGATTTGGAAGTCAAAGTTCGGAAATGTACGTATTGAGTAAAGAAATAAACGATTTGTGGTTATTTTTTGATATTGTAGCCACCGAAAGGATTTCAGAAAATATGCATATTGTGGCTAATGAGCCATCTCTAGCTTTTTATAGGCTACAAGAGCATGTAAGAAAGGCGTTAAATCCTATGGTGGATAGGCGGGTTGATGTTAATAAGTTACACACTGAATTGCAAGGAAGATGTTACGATATTGAATATGCTGTGGGGTAATAACTAATATTATTCAATAAATGAATTGTGATTTATGGATTAAATTTTAGCGCTTTAAAATCCATGGGGAAAGCTGAAGAAAGCTTTAAAAACATACAAGAAAACCTTAAAAACGCGATATTTTTAAAACAGCAGTTAAAATATGAAGAATCAAGGAGAAAAAAAGCTGATTCAAGTTCTGTTTATAAACGACTATCGGCTCATATTACTTTGGATTTACCGGAATTGCCGGAACTATCAGATGTTGTTAGAGAAACTGCCAATAGAGTCGAAAGCATTATGTCCAAGGCGACACATTCCTCAAATAGTTAATAAGACTGTTATTTATTTGTTTTTATTTATGTAAGATTATATTATACGTTGTTAAGGCTTCGATTGTTTTTGTTTGTATTCCCTATTTTGGTATTGTTTGCCTAGTGACGTCATCGTGGTGAAAAGCATTACCATGAAAGGTCAACGCCCCGAATATTTTTTATTTTATAATTTAATGCAATTTAGCGCTAGTTACATGAAAATTGCGTCGATCTATTTAAAATCATTACATTTAAAGTAGTAATATCGTTGTGTGAAGATTCTTTAGTCAATGGTAATATTCAATAATAATTATTTTGACTCTACAGTTGGTTATCTAGTGGATTTTGACAGTTAATTAAAACAGATGGCAGAACTGCTTTCGGGCTGCTGTCAGTAACCATTTTATCTTGTCACTGATGTTTTATAAACAAACATTAACAGAAAATTATTAAATAAACAAATATCCTCAATCAGCAAGGAGTTCTTCATTAAAGTAACAAGGTAATTATTTAGTTTTATTTTCGTAATTTGGTTATGTCATTAAATGTCAGTGGCGTACTGTGTTGTTGTTATAACAGAGTTTAGTAATGTTTCTAATCAATAATAGCTATTAAACTAAGATAGATCGTGCGAAATAGGCTTGCTTAAAGTAAATCGTAACATTTGATAGCCTAATAAATGTGATTTTCGAGTAGTATCAATTGAACTAGATCAAGACAATTTAACATAATAACCAGACATGCGTTCAATATTTTGCCATCGACTAAGCATATTGCGGCGTCGCAAATTTCGGCGCATGGCGTCGCTTGCATTTAAAATCAGTGAAATATACATGGGGTGAAAAATTGTTCGGCTTCTTAGCGATGATTAGTAATTCCCGTGCAGGTAGTTGAGTGTGAAAAAGTTCGTTTAATTCAGTCGGAATCGTGACAAATAAATTTAATTTCTGCGCCGCTCCAAAGAGGTAATATTGATTTTGGGTTGGAGCCTCATATTCACAGAATATTTTCTCATCGTGAGCCGACCGTCGAGTAAATACGATATAAGTTAATTTACGTTTAGTATTAGCGAATTTGTGATGATGATGTTCCTCAAATAGGTAATCCTTTTTAATTCGGACCCAAATTTGCCGTGTTTGTGAATATTGATCTCATTTCAAGTACAAGTGTTTTAACTACAATATTATGTTCTATAAAGTTTTTGTGGTTTCACCATAGTAAATATTCTCCGCGTTTTAGCTAAATATCAAATTTTGGCGGAAGTACAGTAATTGAAATTCTATATGAGTAGAAGAATACTTAATAATGGTGATTCATACTTAATCCCCCTTCAACTTCAACGATTCTTTTTATACATTTTCGGTATATTTACACCGTGAAAATCTTGTAGGTAGTCAAGAAATGTTATTATGGAAAATTTTATCAATAAAAACTAAACAGAAATGACAAGTTTGACTCTGGCATTAGATAATATTGATGTGAGTGAGAATACTGAACAAATAAGCAAACTTTTTCCCAAGTGTAGACCAAGAAGTGATATTAATCTAAATCCCATCATTGCCTCGGGAAGAGACCATGAATGTACAGAAAATACTGCAAATACTGTCATGAATGTGGACAGTGAAAATGATAGGTAAAAGATTTTCATTTGAACTTAGTTTTTTATAACATCTATTATATTTGTCTGAGGGTGATAACAGAGAAATGATTTCCCCTTTAATACAGTAGGAATAAATACACAATTTTATTATTATTACATTAATTGAACATTCTTTCTTAAACTAATTAATTAAGAGTAAATTGATATTGATAAAACTAGGTTTTGATTAGTAACTTACCAATTTCTGACTAGTTACTATTGTTTGTAACTTCTAGCAAATATCAAACCAAATATGGCACAACCTTCATGCTCTCCTGATATTTAAACATCGGTTCATATTTGATTTAATTTTTCGGACTTACACCTCGCTAAAGAAGTTTCCCTTTAAAACATAACTATAAATATAACTTTTGTTTTATGTTTTTAAACATTTCGCTGAAATCACCCAGTTTAATTTTTAAATTACATCAGCAACATATGTGACTTGTTCATGACTGCATTTGTTTATTTATAGTGGTATAACAGATGAACTCATGAATATGCTAATAAAAAAATTGTTTAAAATGTCATTTGTATATAAATGTGCTTAATGGGAAATCGTGAGGTACATTTAAAAAATAAAACAGAACTGAAAGTAATGAGAAATCAATATGTATACCTACATAGTTGTTCCAAGTCATGAATTAATTTGAGTAAAATTTAATGTCGAGATTAAATTTCTACTAATGACTTGACCAATTTATTTATTTTATTAGGTGGATGGGTGATGGCTGTAATATAAGTAGGGATAATTTGCAACTGCTATCTCCAGAGGATGAGAACATATTAGATCACAAAATTTCTGGGGGGACGTACAAATTACGTGACTCTAGGTACATTAAATGTCGTCATCTAATTTCTTTTGAATCACTGATTTTTTGATTTTGTTTAGCATGTTTGTTTCGCTTTGTGTATTGTCGTAGATCTCGGCAATTTTCGCTAACACGTTGGCAATTTGTGTGTGTATTTTAGGATAATCGAAATAGCCGGCGGTCGCGAAATTTACTCGCAAAGCAGAAGCAAAGCGGCGCGTAAATCCCGTAACTCCGTTGTCGGCGAAGATGGCGAGAAAAAGCCGCAAAAATCGCCGATGAGGCAGGGCGTTTGGGAGCTGCGCGGGCGCAACAACGAGGCGAAAAAGCTGAGGAACTCGCGCGACTACACCGAAACGATATTCTCGTCGGAGGTATGCTCGGTTACGCACGAAAACGAGCGCGACGCTTCGACGCCCGTCGAACCCGAACGGGTTAGCAGCCCGGCCGAGATGAGCTACCCGAGCGAGGTCGTCGTGTTCGACGACATCGGCGACGCGACGTGGCACGACGACGCACGATTCCAAAGCGAGGTCAACGTCAACCAACTCACCGCCGCCAACCTCTTCAACTCCAGCGACACCGACAGCGAGAAAGTCACCAAGGTAAAGTAGAAACCACGAATATATGAACGTGACTCATCAGGTCACGGTCCAGTGCAGTGCTGTTCTAACGGGGGCATAAGTATTTGTAAAAAATCTTGAGTGTAATGTTGGTTGCTATACTTCTGATATATTTGCTTTTAAAGTTAAACACAGTACACACTTGAGTGTAACGTTGGTTGCTATACTTCTGATATATTTGCTTTTAAAGTTAAATTTTAATAATTAACATCTACGATAATTAAATAAAATGTATTTTTTTTAGAAACTAATTAATAAATAAACTTTAAACGCAAATATTTCAGAATTGGTGACAAAAAATAAAAATGTTTACGCAGGTCAGGTACAAAGTGAAAGATATTTAAATTGTGTGGATATAAAAACAACTTGCGTTAGTTTCACGAAATTTATTAAATATTGACAATTGTTTCGCTACACAGTAGCTTCTTCAGATTGTATTAAACTAATACCAGTACAAAATTTATATAATAAAAATATTTTTGTATTCTAGCCTAGAATTTCTAGGTAAGGATTTTTATGCTTAAAAACCTACGTGTGAGTACATTTACCGCTGCATCGAATGTACAAGACAAGTAAAACATTACTGCTAGCATGTCTGAGATATGTTCGGCACCCGATGAGTCACGTTCATATATTCATGGTTTCTACTGTAAAGGTTTGTTCCTACAACAATAAAACACTCAGGCACCTGCGCAATATGACTTTGGCCCGCCCTACAGTTCTATTGCGCATGCGTCTGACGGTTTTAGACACTAGGAACAAACCTTACATTTTTATGACGTTTACTTTATCGATACTACAAACCACAATACACCCTATATTTATAAATTTGAGCATCAGCTTGTTTTTGTGTATCGTGGTGCCAACTGGAAGAACAAAAAAAATGACAAACAAACTTTAGGTGATAGGCAACCTGCCGATCGCGGTTTACGAAGGTTCGCCGCGGCGATACGGCCAGAGGCAAATCGAGAACAACTGTACGCATCCTCAGTTGCCTAGTGCGCAGAGCTTGCTGGCCTCTCCTAGCGTTTATCCGCCCAGACCCGGGTTTCCGCAAAGAATCGTCAGCAGCCCCGGTCCGAACGAGAACGAAGCGAATATTAATCTAGAGAACAACACTTTCAATGTGAGTACTTGATTTTTTTACTTTACGAAAAGGATGGAACAAAACTGAAGTTGGCAACACAATGGCAAAACAATGTTGGCAACACTGTTGGGCGGCCATATTGAATGTTTATAGTTCTCTATTTAACTTTTTTCTGACGCCACCGGCTGAAGTTATTTTTTTTTAATTTATTTAATAAACCCAAAAAGGATACATGCTTCTTCTTCTTCTTTAGATATTGGCAATCTATTTCTGATTATTTGGCCAGCTCATGATAGGTCTGAAGTTAGCTTTAAGTTAGTTGACAGTTGTCAAATGTCATACAATCGTTAAAATAAAGTGCCTTTCTTGTAAAATAATACTAAATGTGAAAATTATAATGAATTATTAAATAGTTTCTTGACAACAATATTTGAAAATATTATATGAACGTTTGTTGATTTTGCCTTAGTAGTGCAATTAACTAGATTTAACTGATAAAGCGTTAAATTTTTTGCGTACAGTGCCCATAAAACATTCTCTTCTATTTTACTGTGAAAAACTGCTTCTATATCGATTGTTTAAGGGATAAAGAAAAATTTGAGATTTTACACCCAATTTAAAAATTCTAACGGAAATTCCAATAAATATTGTCACTTTTTGTACCTTTAACATTTCCCGTGTAAAATTTTTTAATACTTTCTGATAATATTTTGCAATTATAGTAATAAAAATATTTTCTTAACATAATCATATTTTAAAGTACCAATTATAGTTTAATTAAAATAATAACGGGCAATGTTAATGGTGAAAATTACGTCAAAAATGTTTATTGGGATGGTTACTTTATTTTCGCGTAGATGTCGCTTTATAAAAATATTTAATTAAAATCATTTTTTAGATAATATTAAGTATTTGTCGAAAAAAAGTATAGTATGCAACTCGTTACTAAAATGGCGTTAATAAAACTTGACAATTAAAAAAAAATAAGCATGTTAACATTTTATTTAAGACAATTATTTTACAAATAGGACAAAAACTAAACACAAATATAAATAGAACTGTCATAAAAATTCAACATGGCCGACTGGCAGAGTTGCCAACAAAATTTTTTACTCAAGCTTTGTTCCAATTCGCTGTAAGTGGTTTTTGAGAAATTGTGCAAGTATAAATATTGTTAAAAATGTATTACATATACCATGCGATTGATAGGTTATTTCTAAATGGATAATTAAATAGTATTTCGTATTAGTCATGGATCTAAATAAATTAGTTATCAACATAATTGTTCTATATGTAACATTAAACATAATTGTTGCTTATCATGGTTAGTTTGGTGTAATCATACATAGAAAAAAACTTTTTTTGAATTTCCGGAAATAGTTATTTATGTCATTAGGCTGAGAAGTGAGTCTTTTTGTGCTAAGATTAAAGTTTTATTTGAGCGAATCACAACCATATGGCATACAACATTTTATATAGATACATAGAACGTACGATTATAATAACTATTATTAAAATTAGAAATTGAGGTTATGTTGATCTGACAGTAGTATTAGTGCAAACGGGTTAAAAAGTTACAAAACTTAAATTATAAAGCGCTTTCAGATAAATAACAAATTAAGACCGGAGCTACTTATAAAACCTTATTATTATGTTTTGTTAAATTAAAGTAGCGCGATTTTTTATTTAATTTTTGAACTTTAGTTTCGAAATAAATACAATTCATTACTCTCGCACACTTTATTTTGTTTTTGTAAGGTAAATAAACATTAAATTGAATTAAATTGCAATGTGGCAACAATGGTTTAATTGGTCCCTCCCACAATGACTCGCGCACGCGTAGTAAAGGGAACCTTGCTTTAGATTTAATGCCTCCTTAAATGTCAATTTAAGCCTAAACATACTTAAAAATGGCATCTTAAGCTAGTTTTAAGAAGGTAAACTTACTTTTAGAATTCCTCGTCTCCGACCGCTACATCGACTTTCGATTATCTGTACGAATTTTCCGAGACGCGCAAAGTTCTCGAGGAGTTCTTCAAGTGTCCGCCTCCCGAGGAGGAAAACCGATTGGAGGCGGAATTCCAGGATTTGGAGTACGAGTTGCGCAGGCAAGCCGGCGAGAGCGGCAACTCGTACGTCGGTCAGCGATTGGCCAAGGAGAGGAGAGGGGAGAGCAATGAGTTTTGCATGAGAATTGAGTCGCCCAGGAAGTGCATGAACTCGAACGTCAACCTGATGCAAGTGAGTATTGCTAGATGGCGCTTTACACGCAACAGTTTTTGCAACACCACAGTTGTTGTCGAGTGTTATAGCGGCAAACACGTTGTTGTGATCATGTCGTTCTTTAATATTTTCTTTCGTAAATATCAAAAAGTTAACACCGTGGTAAGCATAATTGTTTTATCAGTTGTTTACGGGATTCTTTAGTGGTGACTCTTCTTTTGTACATTTCAGGATCACGACATAACCGAGCACGAGAATAACTTTTTAGATTTATCGATCGGCACGGGTTCCAGCGGCGATTTGGGGGAGACGGAGGTGGGCTTGCAAGTCGGGCACAGTAGAAATTTCACTTTATCCCCCGAAACCACCGATTGCGATTCCAATTGCGGCGACTTGGATAGCGAGGTTTCCTTAATGCTCATGGAGAATGAGATGGGACCGTCTGGGGGCCTCTTAGGTACAAAATTCTCGAAACTCGCTACTTTTGCTTTACCAACGTTTCGTATTTCAGGATCGAGCACAGATTTAACAATACCGGGTGATTCATTACGCTTATACTCTAGCATGCCAGTGTTGGAAGACGGCCTGTCTTCGGGCCATGCTAGCGACACCGACAACAATAATCCCACCGTGATGCTGATGAAAAGGCAAATCACGGAAATCGAACGCGAAATCAATCAGGGCATTTGCAAGAGCAAAAGCAACGTGAAACCGAACGAAAATGGCGTTTCGCCGAACAAAGAGGGCAGCCTGAACAGCTCGCCCATCGATATTAATGGTTGTGTCAATAGTTTCGACGAACCCAAAATTGATTCACTAGGTAAGCTTTTACCACCATATTTGTTCATTGGAGAAAGAAATGTTTAACGCCATTTTTAATTTTTTAGAACTGTTTAAAAAAATCAAAACCAAGATTAAAAAACAGCGTTAAACATTTCTTTCTCTTGAAAATAAATTTGTCACTCAACAACTCCCCCCCTTTAAACCATGCGCAGTATTCGTTTAATAGCTACTGCGCATGTTAGTTGGTTCCGAACTATTTCAAAGAGATCAATTGTTGTCATTTCGACATCTGAAAGTGTTAAATGTTATTTTTTACGATTTTTTTTACTGTGTACATTACTATTTGTCATTTTGTCGTATTCAGCATATTTTTAAATTTATAATTAGTAATTAATGAGGTACCAAATTCGATAAATATTTTTTCTCATATACCTATTTCAAAATTCAAAAGTATTTCCTATTTGTACATAAACTAAACAGTTTTGTTAGTGTTAGTCATTTCTACATCATAACATGACATACCACACTATTGTAAATCGATTGATTATATCCAACAAATTGTTTACTTTTCATCAAACATTTTAATCATAACAGACGCTGCTTTTTAATCTTAAAAACGATATTTATTTTTTTTCAACACTTTTCCTACTTACTAAACATTGGTTAATAAGAAGAACTGTTCAAAAAAAAAACTAAAACCGCTTTTTAAAATTAAAAAACAGCGAAAATCATTTTTTTATCTTAAAAATAAATTTGTCCTTTAAACAATGCGCAGTATAGGTTTAATAGCTACTGCGCATGTGAGTTGGTTCCGAGATCAATTGTTGTTTTTTACCATTAAAAATTTGAATCATGCATATACAGGGTGTTAAAAAAGTAAGCGTGATACTTGCAAACATTGCATTCTAAAATGGCATTTTTTAACGTAGAAAAAACTCCCCCACCCCCAGCTCCTGCCCCTCACAGGTTAATGCAGCCGGAGAAGTCGAACGAGGTGGAGGCGGCCATCAAAGATATTAGGTTGACTTTGCAGAGAACGAAAACTTTGCCTTTGAAGTGTCATCCGGAAGAGGAGCCAGAGGAAAACGTGCCCAGTCCGATTTGGGTGCCGAGGTAAAATGTTGCAAGGGGTTTTTAATTTTTTGAAACAGTATTGCTGACTTTCAGACGTAGAGGAATGTCGGCCGCCAGCGGGGATTCCGACAGAAAAGCCAATAGCGGGGAAGAAGGTGTTTAGTTTTCGTTTTGCACCTTGAGCAAAATTGTAATTTTTTTTATTTGCAGAAGAGAACGATACGGATTTGGAGACCGACAGGTTGCTAGGACAGCAAAGGACTGACGATCAAGGTTTTTACGACGACAAGGTGAGTCCACAAAATTATTTTGCCGGATTAGTTAATTTCCACGCAATACGACTCCTTAAAGTTTACTGCGCATGCGTACATTTAACTTACACTCGGGAGATCTTATGATAAAGTAGCATAGAGGTATTTTTAATAAAACCTATAGTTTACAATTATCAATTAATTAATAATAGGGTAAATAGATTTATAGCATGCCCCTAATAGATACGTCATTTACACAGGTCAACAAAATTTAGTATTTTTAGGTTACGCAAGATTTTTGCTCTCTAAGTTTTAAAATGTTGGGTTCTAAAAAAAATTCTTAAAAATATGAAAAATGTTGCGTAATTGATATTACGTTGACCTGTGCGATCGCATAATTTTCATCTATTGTTATTATTAGGGTTGGAGAAAACCTAAAAGCCGGACAATATTGCCTGCCCTAGGCTTAACAAACCCTAAACAAATGCTAAACGCGATGGACGAAGGTGTCACCCTACCCCTAGTCCCCTCAGAAACCCCAAACTCAAATCCCCCCTCCCCAACAGCAGTGTCTGACAAAAGCCAGTCACCACAAAGCCAAAAGGGATCTGTGACGTCAAATAAGCTTAAAAAGGTGTGAGACAACAAGATCATTTTAAGAGAACAAATATTTTACAACAACGTTGAAACTTTAAATTAAAAAAAGTTGTGAAATGTTTGGGCTTTTTTTAAATCTTGCAAATACTACTGGCATGTATAGAATTTTGATAGATTTTTGGGCTTAATATTTTTCTTTTCAACTACATAACACTATACTAATACTAATTCCAATATACTCCTTGATTTGTAGATAGACTAATTATATTTATAGAATAGGTAGTTACTAATCCCCTGGTTTTTACAAAAAAAGGTCACCAACAATTACTAAACAGTCGCAGAAAATTGTTATGCTTTATTTTCAATTTTATCATGGCCCGCTGTTTTAAGTAATTGTCAAATGGACGTCAGGGAAATGCGCAATAAATACTCTATTTATTTAAGCTGTTATATTGTAGTAGATTTGTTTTATTAAGTGTTTAAGTGAGTTTCTTTTGTATAGACTAAGAGCTCCTGATCTTTTAAAAATTTTTTCTTCAAAATTATATCTAAAATATGGTTTGGGGTGACAAAAAAAATTATTGTGAAAGTTTAAGTCCATAATATTAATATTAAGAGGTCTATCATCGCAATTTTAATTTTTTTTTCCTCAGCAAGTTTTTGTCTCAGAACTCCCAAACCATTTGGTTTAACAAAATTAACTCGAAAATATTTTTTTAAGAAAATTAAATGCTCTACAAAAAAGGTTAAAGTGAAATTTTCCGTCAGATGAACCGTTTCGTTAAAATCATGCCTTAAAAATTGGTATAGTTTTACAATTTTATCTTTTAAATTGGAATTTTGTAATTCATGTAAAAATCAGTACCCATAAAAAACCGATAAATATTCTTATGGAAAATCAAATGCTTTACAATAAAAGCCTCTCAATATTTTAACTAAATTCACTCACTCAAAAGTTATTCAAGGTTAAAATTTCGTTTTGACTTCAAATTTAACCTTGAATAACTTTTGATGGAGTGAATTTAGCCAAAAATGATAAAAGACTTTTTTTGTAGAGCATTTGATTTTCCATTAGAATATTTATCAGGGTACTGATTTTTACATGAATTACAAAATTCCAAAGTTAAAAGATCAAATTGTAAACTATACCAATTTTTAAGGCATGATTGTAAGAAAACGGTTCATCTGACGGGAAATTCCAATCAAACCTTTTATATAGAGCATTCAATTTTCTTCAAAAAACATTCTTAAGTCAATTTTGTTAAAGTCAATGATTTGGGAGTTCTGAGATAAAAACTCGCTCAGGAAAAAAAATCTAAAATTGCGATGATAGACCTCTTAATATTAATCTTATGAACTCAAACTTTCACCATAATTTTTTTTTCTCACCACAAACAATATTTTCGATATACTTTACAAAAAAAAGTCGATTTTTTGAACGTCAATTTGATCATCACAAAGATTTCTTAAAACTTTTAGTCATGAAAAATTGTTGAATAAGCCAAACGTATTTTTGCGAATGGACTTGCCACCTAACTGCATGGATGCATTCACTGGGCGCAAAATAATATTAATAAAAAAAAAACAAAACGAATGCACTGACTGAAAATCAATTCTAGCTTCATGACATGTAAATAGCAACTCACGAAATTAACCGAGAAAAAAAAACGCAGCATTATTTTTTTTAACTCTCTAAACACGTCTATTATTTTCAGGAAAAAGACAGTAAAAAGAAGGGCCGTAACAAAGAAGGTAAGTGTCTCGTTTTAAAACGAATCGAATATATGTACATAGTTATTTTCCGTAAAAATAACTAATTTTATTAAATTGCTAATCGTTTTGGAAAACCGATGGTAAGTCTAAAAATGAACTGTACAAAAAAGGGGCAAACCCTTTTAAATGCAAGTTTATATATAGACTCTCTCTACTAATTAATGTTAAAATTAAAGAGGCATTTTAAAGAAATTACACTGAATAGAAATTATTGTAACCTGGATTAAATTGTGCGGTGATTGTTTTTTTAAAGGATGTTACGTCTTCAGGTTAATATTTGAATATAAAGCGACCTGTAGCTACTTAACTTGTTCAATATTCACCTGAGCACGATACAAAAATTATAAAAAACAATGATATTTTTTAGGTACTACTAATACCGAATTGTCGGCATTGAAAATAAAACTGTATGCACTGTATATGATTAAAAATAGATATGTTTTGCCAGGCATAAAGTATTTGCATTTTAAACCCGCGGGGATAAATTCCAGAAACTAATTTAAAAACTTGATTACATTTTTCTAGAAAACAACCCGATCAGAGTAATAAAATGTCTCTAATATTTTTTCCAAAAAGAAAAACAAAAAAGATTGCACGTGTATCTTTCTTTGCAGATGTCATTCAACGTTCAGTTTTAATAGAGGGTGTGCTATTTCGCGCACGATACCTGGGATCCACCCAGTTAGTGTGCGAGGGTCAGCCGACCAAAACTACAAGAATGATGCAGGCTGAGGAAGCGGTTTCAAGGATTAAGGTAACAACAGCATGACTCAATTAAAATATGTTGTCCGATGTATGTAAAAAACATAAACGATGTTATTGATGTAGATTTTGCTTTAACCGATGATAACAAGCAGTAACTCGATAGTTATTGATATCGCATGACAAAATTATGTTATCTTAAACAGGTGATAATAATAAATAATAAACATTGTATTAAAGGCATGATGAAAGCATGTCATGGATGAATTTCTACCCTTGTTGAATGTAATAAATCATTTAAATAAGCAAACAATTAAAATCGAGAGATTAAAAATTAAAAAAAAATTACCCCCTTCCTAATTGGTTCGGTTCGCAGTGCCCTCTTGGTGCACGCTTGGTTGGTAGCCTGCTACATGTTACCTATAACACTGCTAAACAAAAAAATGCCTCTATGTAACCCAGTGATTTTATTGCAAGTCCAAATTTTATAAATGGTAGGACAAATAAGTTTAAAACCTTACAATACAATTGTTTGTGACTCCTGTATCTATTTGATTAACTTTTTAAGTGGTCGGGGCTCAGGTTAAAAATTAATTTACAAATCTTAATTTTTGGATAGTAAAAAAGTAAGAAAAATCCTTGTTTGAATTTTTTTCACTTTTTTAGGATTTTTTCTAATTTTTTTTAAAGTGGTCGGGGCTCGGGTTAAAAATTAATTTATAAATCTAAAACTTTGGAAGTACATTTAGAAGAGTAAAAAAGTACGAAAAAAAATCGTTTTTCCAACGTTTTTAGGATTTGTTCTAATTTTTTTTTTAAGTTGTCGGGGCTCAGGTTAAAAATTAAGTAATTTAAAAATCAAAAACTTTGGAAGTATATTTAGAAGAGTAAAAAAGTAAGAAAAAAAAATAATAACAAATTTTAACTCAGGTTAAAAATTAATTTAAAAATCTGAATTTTTGGGAGGATAATTTTTGTACTATTGACGTTATTCTCTTTTTCTTTTTAATAATAAACGTTAAATAATAGTATATTATGTATCAAGTTTGATAAACGCCATTTTATGCACGAATTTAATAGGCACGAGCGAGCTTGCGAGCGAGTGCTTAATTTAATGAGTGTATAGAAAAGTTTATAAACGAGGTGCATACTATACTTTTTCTACGACAAATACTTATTATTATAGTAAAATGATTTAAATCAAAAATTTGTATAGAGCGCCATCTATGAAACAATAGGGGAATCTGTGTGTCACCGTCAAATGTCAAATTTTATAAACACAGATTATAAAGGTTATAAATCGAAATGTATTTCTTGAAAATTCACAGTTTTTCACAGTGAAAGTAAAGAAAATGCTTTATGAGCACTTTACAGTGAAGTCCGTGCCCGAATTTAAGTTATAGTTTACTGCCGGCGAAATTAAAATGTCAGTACAATGTTCATATAAACTTTTCAAATATTGGCGTTGAGAAACTATTTAATACTTTTGTATTGAGATAATAAAATAATTTTCACATTTAGTATTATTTTACAAGAAATGCACTTTATTTTAACGATTGTATGACATTTGACAACTGTCAACTAACTTAAAACTAACTTCAGCCCGTGACTAAAAACCTGTTGCTAACTTTAGCCCGTGACTAAAGCGTCATAAAGCCACAACTTGTCAATGTGTATTTAAAAGGTCATTTAGTGTCATGGAAACATGTACGATGAAGGGCGTTTTAAAGGTGGGAGTAGAAAAAATAAATTTTGTTTATTTTTTGGGTTATTCATTTTTGAAAGTTATAGCTATACAGCAAATAAAATCAGTGTGTATTATGGGGCAACAATAATGTTTAGCAGTGTATAAACTTTCACAATGTCGCACCTCCTACCATGCTTTGTATGTTTTCTTGAATATTGTAAATACATCTGTATACCTACAAAAAAAAATATTGTGGAACTTGTGTCTAAATGACTGTTAGATGTGTGTAGACCTTTATAATAATAAATGCAAAAAACATACTGGACGTTTTTCAAATCGGATGGCATGACAAGGTAAACTTGCAGGAGGTCTCCAACCAAATGATTCAGTGCGGACAAGAATTTGTGCGAAACGGCTCAGAGAGTGGTAGCACTGACGACGAGCCTCAACCTCAGGTCATTATGATGGAGCCTGAGCCCCCTGTTGACCAAAACACGCAACTTCAACTTCACAACGGTGAGATCTTGCGGACATTACAAACATAAACCTCAAAATGGTTAAATGGACATGGGCAATATTAATATTAGTATTGCGCATGTCTGATAAAAAATACTATATTACATATACAATTACTATTTTTTTTGTAAATGAGAGATACAAATTTTTAACAGTGTAGGAACAAACCTAATACACCCTGTATCCTTCTATGTATAGGTATTAGGGTGTTTTTATATAAAACGACTATTTTTTGTTTTTCACAGAAACAGAAATAGTCTTAAAATGGCATTAAATTTTTTTTTAAATCAGCGGTTACTAAATAATTTCAAAAAAACTGAAAACCTATTTTGAAAAAACATGTAAACATACACATTTATCTAAATTTTTATCCAATTCGTAATTTTTTTGCTTTCTTTTGGCCGCCATATTGAAATTTTACATGGTTAGATAGAAAAAAATCAAAGAATCCAACTACAATAAGTTATGGCGGCCATTATATAAAGAAAAGTTGATAATGGTAAAAGATTTATAAAGGAGTTTTAGTTTTTACGCTGTTAACACTAACTTCGTATACAGACTGTATAGAATCAAGTAAGTAAGGTTGGAGACAAGGATAACAAATTATATTCTGTTCAGAGAAAAAGAAACAAACTTTAATTGGGCGTGGTTTAAACCAAGCCATTCGTAATTACGAACCATAGTTGCCAGGTTGTTTTAAATCAGAAGAGAACGATTATAATTATTTAATAAATAGTTCAATTTTATTTGTTTGAAACTTTAAAAATAACAAAAAAATCAATAATATGTCAAAAATAATTTGATTTAGTTAATTTTCTTACTTTTAATATTAAAAAATAAGAAAAACAACCCTTTTAGGAAACAATAATAGCATATGGCAACAGCGCGGCATGCAGCTAGATACAAGGGCATGCAGTTTGATCTACTGTTTGTTCAGTAGCTCCGACGCTGTCGTAGGGAAATGTGTATAGTTTTTAAGAAATACATTTTCGCCATTAACTGGAATTTAATGGATTTTAAACAATACTTAGTTTTTATTTGCAGAAATGCATTAAAACAAAACAAACGAATTCGATAAAAATAAAACCTATAAATTCTCAAACAAAAATAATTCTAAAATAACGAAAATAACTTTTTTTCTAAAGTAAATGTTCAAATAGACCAGCAGCAGTTAAACAATACCCTAGCCTATCATAAAAATTCCTGCGCACGTTAAACAGCATTTCAGGACTAATATCTCCCAATGTATTAAGGATTTGCACCCTTAATTCATCGAGATTATTAGCCCTGAGCTCTTGAAATCCATAAATAAAGACGTACGCAAAGTCTCAGTGCACTGACGCACAGATCATACGACAATGATACGGCAAGCAAACAAATTCAATCCCTGCCACAGTGGGCGGGGTTTGGCACTTGTTTTATTTAAGTGTATCTATTCGTTTTAATACACATTGTATACTATAACTTAAAATATAGTGGCGAAGAAATTTGATGAAAATGTAGATTAATGTGTATGTTTACATGTAAAATTAACTTTTTTTCAAAATTCCCAGGAATAACGAAGTTATAACGATTTTTAGTTTTTTTCAAATATTTTAATTTATAAATTTGATTCTAATGGGCTTTTCTCTAAACTAAATTAAACTTTTGAGGTTTAATTGTGCAAAATGTATTGTTCAAAAGATTATTACTAATTGTATAATAATAGATGGAGATCGGGTATACAACCCGAGCGTCGGGGCCACTGGCACCGTGTTTCGTCTGCATTTTCTTGGATCTGTTGAGGTCGATGAGGAAGGGGGTAGAAAACGTCGAAAACGTTTGAAGAAAAACATGGTTGAAGTGGCCGTTACAAAAATCAAGGTCTGTCTTAATAAAAAGTTCTCGTTACAGCCGATGGGATTTTTTTTTACATTTGCATCTAATTATATCATTTTTTTTCATTTCAATTATAGACGGTGAATGTAAAAATTTACATAGTTTTTCCCCATCATCCACCATTTGAATGTCGTAATGATTTTTATTTTTGACAGGTTAGAAATTCATTTGTGAATGGGTTGACAATGCATGCGAGATGTTATTAATCACACTAAAAGTACTAACTTTATTTTTCTTTTCATTGCCGCTTCTTTGGATGAATTTTAAAGGCTTTGGTAAGCAATAATACAAACATGGTTAACATAGACAGTTGACCAACATTAAATTTTCTTCTAGGCTCCGGACGGCGAGTCTCAGCCCAGCACCGAAGTGGACTTGTTCATTTCCACGGAAAAAATAATGGTTTTAAACACCGATCTGAAGGAAATAATGATGGACCACGCTCTGAGAACGATTTCCTACATAGCCGATATCGGCGATTTGGTAGTGCTGATGGCTCGGCGGCGCTTCGTGCCGCACGAGATGGACGAAGCGCCGAAAATCAACCGCACTCCGAAAATGATCTGCCACGTGTTCGAGAGCGAAGAGGCTCAGTTCATCGCCCAGTCCATCGGGCAGGCGTTCCAGGTCGCCTACATGGAGTTTCTGAAGGCGAACGGCATCGAGGACCACAGCTTCGTCAAGGAGATGGACTACCAGGAGGTGCTCAACTCGCAGGAGATCTTCGGCGACGAGCTGCAGATGTTCGCCAAGAAGGAGATGCAGAAGGAGGTGGTGGTGCCGAAGGCTAAAGGCGAGATTTTGGGCGTGGTGATCGTCGAGAGCGGCTGGGGCTCGATGCTGCCCACGGTGGTGATCGCGAACTTGGCGCCGGCCGGGGCGGCCGCCCGATGCGGCCAGCTCAACATCGGCGATCAAATAATAGCGATTAACGGCGTCAGCTTGGTCGGTTTGCCGCTGTCGACGTGCCAGAATTACATCAAGAACTCCAAGAATCAAACTGTGGTTAAATTGACTGTCGTTCCTTGCGCCCCGGTTGTCGAAGTGAAAATTAAGAGACCCGACACGAAGTACCAGCTCGGATTTAGCGTTCAAAACGGAGTTGTAAGTCCACTTCGCTTGAATTTTATGTGGATGTTTTAATTTTTTTTTTCTTCTTTTTTAGATTTGCAGTCTACTGAGGGGCGGCATAGCGGAAAGAGGCGGCGTGCGCGTAGGTCATAGGATTATTGAAATTAACAATCAAAGCGTTGTTGCTGTCCCCCACGAGAAAATCGTCAACCTGCTGGCGACCTCTGTGGGAGAAGTAAGTATACTAATTTTTTTTTTCAATTGACATTTTATGGCAAGCCGTTTTACTATTTAATGTACAATTTGTATACCTACAATAATTTTTTTTTATTTGATTAACTATTTCACTAACAAATAAATATAAAGCTAACCCCAATAAACATTTTAGGAGGAAATTGAGTGTTCTACAAAAAGGTAACATGTTTTTTTTTGTAAACCTAGCCATTTAAAAGATATTATTACTAAATATAGCTGGCATTTATAGAAAACAACACAACAAAAATATGTACTACTCATTTCAAAATCCCAACTGTTCTGCAAGTTTTCTTTGACCTAAATTATCTTTTAAATGAATAGGTTTACGAAAAAACATTTTGTAGAGCATTCAATTCAATATTATAACATGTAATGTGAAAATTGAAAATAATAAGAGCTCATACTTACATAAGCTTTGTAATTTTTATTGCTTGAATTAAAATGGTGATTAACATAATTAAAATTATGTATAATATAATTTTAATTCAATTAAAATTATTCTATACATAATTTTAATTTAATTAATTGTAGAATATAATTTTAATTTTAAAAATTACCACCATTTTAATTTCAACAATACTAGTATATTATTTATTAAGTTTTATAAACTCCATTTTAGTTTCGAGTTTAATTAAGCGCGAGCGAGTGTTTAATAAAAACGATTGTCAAGAGAAGTTTGCGTACAGTGCCCATAAAACATTCTCTTCTCTTTTACTGTAAAAAACTGCTTCTATATCGATTGTTAGTCTATTTTTAAGGGATACATTTTGATTTACACAGAAAAATTTGTGATGAATTCCAACGGGAACTCTAATAAATACAACTGTCACTTTTTGTACCTTTATCATTTCCCTTGTAACAATTTTTAATACTTTTTATAATATTTTGCAATTAAAGTAATATAAAAAAATCAAGGGATAAAATATTTTGTTAACATATTTTAAAGATATTTTAATATTTTATCAATAATTGTTAAGTTTAATTTAAATAATACCGGGCAAAATTAATGGTGAAAATTACTTCAAAAATGTTTATTGGCATGGTTACTTTATTTTCGTATAGATGTCGCTTTATATAAATACTTAATTTAAATAATTTTTTCTACTCCCACCTTTAAAACGCCCTTTATCGTACATGTTTCCATGACACTAGGTGACCTTTTAAATACACATTGACAAGTTGCGGCTTTATGGCGCTTTAGTCACGGGCTGAAGTTAGCAACCGGTTTTTAGTCACGGGCTGAAGTTAGTTTTAAGTTAGTTGACAGTGGTCAAATGTCATACAATCGTTAAAATAAATTGCCTTTCTTGTAAAATAATACTAAATGTGAAAATTATTTTATTATCTCAATACAACAATACAAAAGTATTAAATAGTTTCTCAACGCCAATATTTGAAAAGTTTATATGAACATTGTACTGACCTTTTAATTTCGCCGGCAGTAAACTATAACTTAAATTCGGGCACGGACTCCACTGTAAAGTGCTCATGAAACATTTTCTTTACTTTCACTGTGAGAAACTGTCAATTTTCAAGAAATACATTTCGATTTATAACCTTTATAATTGTGTTTATAAAATTTAAAAATTTGACATTTGACGGTGACACACAGATTCCCCTATTGTTTCATAGATGGCGCTCTATACAAATTTTTGATTTAAATCATTTTAAGATAATATTAAGTATTTGTCGTAGAAAAAGTATAGTATGCACCTCGTTTATAAACTTTTCTATACACTCGTTAATTTAAGCACTCGCTCGCAAGCTCGCTCGTGCCTAAATTAAATTCGTGTATAAAATGGCGTTTATCAAACTTGATACATAATATACTGAGTTGAATTAAAATTCACACTAAGGTTTTAAAATTTCCGGGAAAATTGAGCCGGCTGAAAAAAACATTGGGAAATTTTCACAAAAATTGACATGCATTTTTTTTCATTTTATTCAAAGGGTAATAAGAAAAAAATGTGAAAGTAATTTTTTCTGAAATTTACAGATTTTTACGGATAATATCCGTGCACTGATATTGAAAAAAAGTGAATTTCCGACGCTGATTATAATCATATAATATTTTGATTGTAATAATTATTATACCAGGTCGCAAAAAATATATATTTTCGGTGGTTTTAACATAGCTATCTCTTTAAATTGTTTTTTTCTGTAATAAAGGATATTTAAAAAAAAATCAAAATAAAATTCTTTTCTCCTTAGATCTTGATGAAAACGATGCCGACTTCCATGTTCCGGCTGTTGACGGGGCAAGAGAATCCGGTGTACATCTAAAAGCGGTAACGCGAAGGTCTGAAAGTGCCTACAAGTAGTTGATATTGAACTGTCCTTGGGAATTGTTTTTTAAGTTTGATCGTGCTTGGCCGCAGATCGATATATTTTTTATTGTAAGTATAAGTTCCACAGACTGAAGACAATACAAGCAAGACCTGCGCGCTCTGCACAAAAAAAATTAAACGATGACAAAAAAAAAATTGATGCGCTGAGCTTTCGTGATAGACCATATCTGCTTTGTCGCGTAATAATAATTATTTATTTGTTTGTTTGTTGTGAATGTGAAGAGCATACCAAAGACTGGTTGGCTTATCAACATAATCTATTCTCATTAACTAAAATTTACCGATTTTCCTATTGTTCATGGGTTCATAGGTTCATTCAATTATATATCCCCCTAACTCATCACTGCATAATGTTCGATTTTTAGTTTGCAATGGCCTAGGTATTAACTAACAATGCTTGTATTTTAGTTTTTCAGATATATTTAATAAGACTGTTATTAATCTTAGTTAAGGAAATTGCTTGTTATCTGAAAAGCTCTATATGTATGGTCATGGTCATTCTTTTTCTCGTTGTATACCAACCAAGCCGTCAAAATGTTTTTTTTTCTCCAAAGTTGGTTTGTATATTGATATAGGCAACTTTGAATGAACTTTAACCTATTGATGAGTGAGTCGACATACTGTACGTTGTCTCCAAATATTGATTTATTGACATTTGCCCAACCTCGAAATGCTGGCTCAAAAAAAAAATTATAAGAAATCAATGTAGCACTATCTAGTCAGCATCAATAGAAATTATTTAAATGTGTACGTGTTTTGTTTTTCTAGTGTATTAGACCATCTCTTCCATAGCTATTTCCTTGTGCTTGTTAAAGAAGGTCTATTATATTATTTGTTTGTGCCGTTGAATTTGTGTTGGAAACTTTTTAACCAAACCCCAATATGTTTTATTTTTTTTATTCAATATTCAATATAGGGTATCAACTATTATTTACAGGGTGTGTTTAGCTAGTAATTAAATTCTAGAGTCAACATAATTTTTCTTATGAAAGATATTTTTATAAATAAATTATTTTTATACTAATAACATAAATGTACAAATTTTGTTACACAACAATATCACATTAATATTTATTTTTTCAAAACGCTGTAGACATAAGTAGGTTTTTTAACACCCTGTATGCTTTTTCTTACTTAATACCCAATTTAGACCAACTGGGGTATACAAAGTAAAGCTGTTTTTCTTGTTATATTTATATTGAGGTATAGGTAAATGTTTAAATTGGGTGCTCATAGAATTTCTAAATGTTAATTGATATTACTATTATTAGAACTGAATATTATGTAATATATATAACTTGGTACAAAACTAGCCTAGATTATAATAATTGATAGATAATACAATAAAATCATTTGCAGTTCCTTAGGTAGGTATATAAAATAAATATTCCCGACACAAATTTGATGGCCAAATTTAAGCAATTTTATTTAATATTATTTATTTGTATAAAAAATACTCTTATTAATTTTATTAACTGTTATTTTTTCTTTACCACTGATTTACAAATAACATTACAGTTAAAAATATTTTATGTGTTATTATTAAATGGAATAAAATACTAGTAAATTTTTTTCCACGCCTGTTATTTTTATATAAAACCATATCAAACCCAGAAAATCACATTCCAAAAAACTCTTTCTTCTATGTAGTTAGCATTCAAATGTATAATAAAAAGTATTTCATGTGTAATAAATATTTACTACAATATTAATGGACGTTTTATTTTTATTTAAAATACTCAAAAATATCCCACACGGTAAAAATAAAACGCCGTCATTGAACAGGTAAAAATTATAAATTTAGTTTCATTTTTCGCCACCGGTTTAAGGGGGGCGCCACCACCGCTCGCGAAAAATTAAAATGTTAGTTCCACTTTTCGCCACCGCTTCAAGGGGGGCACCACCATCGCACAATATAAAATGTAGTTCGTATTTTGTCCGCCAGGGGGCGCTTTTGAAATGTTAGTTCCAAATTTCGCCGCTAGGTGGCTTCACCTATAAAAGTAAGTCATCGACGGTGGGGTGGGCATTGGGGTGGTCGGAGCCATGCGACGCACTACTATCCAACTTCTAAAATCCTAACCTAACATTCTTTAAGACCGTTTTAGCTAGCTTAATTTGACATTCTTAATGTGTGATATAAAAATAATAGTAGTTTGGTGTTGTGAAGAGTCAAGATATAAAAATAATAGTGGTGAACAGCGCCATCTATTAGTCGGTAGCGAAAGTTTGAAATTACAGAAAACTTTATTCAAAAATTTCTGATCAAATTTTGTTGCATTTTCGTAGTTTGAGCTGATAAGATAAGATGTGTTTTTAGTAATTATTTTTACTTACCTTATTTTTAAACTGCAGCAGAAATTACAAATCCTCTTTAAAAGTAGTTTTTTCAGTATTTAATGAATGCATAAAAACAAAATGTAAATTTTTTATTTTTTTTTATTTAGAAAAATACGTCTACATTAAAACTTACACTACTATGTTCATAAACTTTATAAAAAGTTAACATATATAAAATATAAATAGTGGAACTAGGTTCCTCACAGCTCAAATACTGGACAACTCAAAACAAAAATAGTACAAAGTAAAATGTACAACAAAAATATAACTACAGTATTCTTTTTGTTGAGTAAAAAAACTAAAACTAAGCCTTTGAAGGTTATTCGCAATTTTCCGATTGTAGACATCTTGACAAGTGCAAAAATATTCATTGACAAGGGAATCGACTGTGTACACTGTAGACACACATCGATTCCCTTGCCAATTACTTCTTGAAGATGGAGGTCTTCCAGTCGTGGAGTTTTTCGTTAACTGGGGGTGGCTGCCTGAATTTCACATCTAAAAAAAACAAAACATGATTAGTAAATAAAAATTGTCTTAGAATGTCAAAAGCACATACCAAGTGCCTCAAAGTTTCTGGTGAGCAAATCGACATCGTAATCTGGCTGACCGGACTCGGGCTCGTTAACCCAGATATCACTGAAGCGATCGATCATCACGTCCTGGATGGACGCGAGGCTGTCTTGCATCATGTAGGATTCCATGAAGTCTTCCTCATTCTCGATTAGCAGAAAAACATCCTTCAGTTGATCGTTCAAGTCGAAGGTTTCCTGGATGTTCAGGTAGAGGGCGCGAATGAGGGCGATGTCTTCGTACTTACCGCCCGCGCGCAAGTCGATCTTTTTGCGCTCCTCTTTGCGCCGCAACCTGGAGGATGCCGTAGACCTAAGAAACACATACGCATTAGGTATCCATGGATACCAACGTTCGTACTCACTTGTTGGATCTCTTGGACGACGTCGTGGATCTGGTAGACATGGTATCAGCGTCAGAGTACATGTCGGCTTCAAAGTTTTCCCCCACCAACTCGGCAGCTTCCATCTTCTTCTTCATGTTGTACCTAACTTCCACCAATCGGTCGTAATATTGATCGAACATTATAAATAGATCGTTAATTTTGATTTTCAACTGCTTCCTGTGATCATCCAGTGCCGGCATTATTTTCGCAGCTGAAACATAAACATGCTTACGTCTAATTCGAACAACAACAAAAGTCGACTTACTTAAAACTTTATCGTATAGATTGTTGGTTAAAGCTGCGTTGATTGCCTCGGGGAACATTTTGTGCTCCAAAAAAATGTCGACCACTTTCTCGTAATCTTTGAGATACGTTTCGTATAATTTGGCACCTTCATTTACTTGGTCCTGTTGAATCATTCTATCAGCTAGTAGGGCCACCAAACTGTTCTTTTGTTCGGCGGTGAATTTCAACTTTTCCGCCATAATTAGGGCTTGTTGCCAGTTCAAGGCAGACTTGAATTGCTCGATTGCGAGATCGAGCAAACCCGCACGCTTCAGAACGAAACCGGCTTCATCGTGATAGCCTTTAAAGCCCAAATGTACGCCGTACATGCGGCAGATTTCAGAATAGTACTGCGAATCACTCGGGCAAGCTTTGTAAGCCTCTTCGTATAGCTGGTGTTTGGTGACGTACTTGGTGACGTAATCAAGATCGAAACTGTCTAATCTCACCAAATAGGCAACGGCGACGATCTTATCGTCGGCCCACGTCGCCATTTCGTAACGTACACGTATCTCGGATTCTTGCCTGAGGGCGTGGATTTTCAGCTCGTATTCCATGGGGTCGAAATTGCATATCCTCATCACGTACTTGAGAAACTCGAGGTCATAGAGCATGGCAGTGGTCTTAAAAATTTCGCTAGCGTTGAAGTGCAACTTCAGTTGGTTTATGGCGCGCTCCAACCAATCTTTAACATCCTCCTCGTACATGTGGAAGAGTGAAGCTAGGTGTTTAAGAGCTTCAGTCAAATCGAAGTGCTTGATTAGTATTGCCACTATTGTTGTAAGATATCCAAAGCTACCGTACATCTCCAAACAGTCGATTATATTTCTGAATATTTGCTTCTTCCTTTTGGAGTACTCCAAATCGGGTACATCATTGTGATTCATGGTGTTTTCCAAATGCATATCGCAGCAAGCAGTGGTCAGCATTACTGGATTCTCACACCCATCCAAAAAATCGTAGAGGCCGAGCTCGAACCTTTCGATGTTTAAATCGACCAATATATCCCAGTTCAATTTTTCCATTCTTACATAATCAATAGCATCTTTCCATTTTGTTTGTGTAAGAAGTTCTTCGACTTTCTCAATGCCCATCAGATGGCATGAAACCAACTCCAAGTTACCTCTGGGCATTTGTAAAACAGTCTGGGCCTTGCTGTGGGTGACGCAAACAATGGTACCGCCATTTTCTAACGCTCGAGAAAACTTAAAGGCTTCCTTAAAGTTGCCCATGTCCCTTAGAAGTTGTTGGGTTAGTTTTGCGGAGTAAATCAAGTTCGTGCTTGTAGTGAAAACTAGATAATTCCGGAATATATCAAAGGATGTAACATTATTGCACACAAATTTATTGTTTATGTAAAATTGGTTTAATGCTCCCATTTCGATGGTGAACTCGATATCATCCACAGTGGCTTTCTTTTTAAATAGTTTACCCAATTCAATCTCTTCTTCGCAACCCTTAACAACTTTCATGTGGTATTTCCCATCCAAAGTGAATTCGACTTCCTCATCCATGAATATGGTTAAATAGTCATCCACCCAAGCTGCTTTGCACCCATAAAACTCCTCAGTTTTGACAGTAAAATTAGCCAATGCTTCAGCCGCTTTCTCCAAATTCAAAATAACCCCATTCATCTTACAATCCATCAGCAAGCACTGGTTCAAAACCGGATGGAACACCACCATGTTAACGGCATTATTCATGGGGTACTCGAACGAGCACATAGGTGGCGGTACAATCGAATCGTTGAAGTCTGTGAAGCGCACTTTATTCCCCGATACAACGGCGCAGATACTCAAACCGTTGTGCACGTTAACAACAATTCTCAATCCTACATAGTCGTGCCCTTTTTTTGTTAGGACGTTGAGTTCGCAAACGTTCAAGTAATAGTTTGTGCCCCATTCGAAGTTGACGATCCTGTTTTGCGACGGGTAGAATAATTGTTGCTTTAAAAGCCAGTGTCCATTGGCATAAGCGTAAATGCTGAGGAAATCGTCGCCATTAAAAATGCTGTGGACGGCTATTATGCCCAAGAATGGGTGGAATTTTACGTCAAATATGCCGCCCTAAAATAATTATTTATTAAATTTTTACGATGTGGCTCCCGTCCCGAGGCGGGACTTAACTTCGATCCCGACAGACGTCACACACTGTAAATCCGTTTTTATTCCCCGAGCTTTTATAATTGGTGTCAAGCTGGATGGCTTAGATGGTAGGGCGGTCGCTTGGCATGCGAGAGGTACCGGGTTCGATTCTACTAGAAGTTGTCAAACTTTTTTTATTTTTTTTATTTTATAAATTTGTTGTTTCTTTGTTAAAAAGTGTTTTATTTTTATCGTAACATAAATTTGCCCATTTCAGTTGGGTTTTTGTTCTCAATGGGGCGGGAGGGGGCCAATGGGGCGGGGTCGGTTGGGTTGTGTTGTTGAGTTTGGGTTGGTTTGGTTTTATGACGTAACTAACGTGCCCTTAACATGTATGCAGGTACAATTTATTATTATTATTATTTTATTATAACATAACAAATCTTAAAATTATGACGTCAATCGGGACTGAACTTAAGTCCCGCCTCGGGACGGGAGCCACAGCGAAATTTTTAACAACACATTTATTAAAAATGTATGTATAAAGGCAAATAACTATATTGTTATGAAAAAAAAGTACAGGGTTCCCAGGGAATTTTTAAGTGCTATTTTTAGGACAAATCTTAGTAGAATTTAAGGACATATTAGACAAATTTAAACGTTTAGATAAAAATAAATTATTCATTGGATAACAAAAACAAAATATAAATATATACTTTTTATCCTAAGGTATATGTACATAGTAAAAAAAAACAATTTTTATTCACTAGTAATAAAAGGAAGACCAAAATATTTTCATGTCTTACATTAATACGTCGATTTTTTATTTTTTACACTATAATTCTATGACAGAGCTGTTCCTTCCCTTAAATAGTTTTTTAATTGTTAATTTTGCTTTGATAGGTGTCAATTTAATCATCCAATTCGCTAATTTTAATCAAACAACCATAGAGTAGGCAACCCAGATCACAAACTGATGTTTCATGAAGAAATGTGACAGGTGGTTTATGGGGCAATTTTAAATATTAACAAAACAAAAAATGCCAAATTTTAAGACATTTCAGGACATTTGAGGGCCCCAAAAGTAATAATTTGTTTTTATTTTACAATTAAATAAACCACATTAATGGTTAGGTTTAGTGATTGCATCAATAGTGGAGTCACTCTTTCTATTAAATTCTATTAAATAAGGTGACCAACTTACTAAAATGAAAAACCAGTACATAACATTTATTTTATTTAATATTTATTATTTATAAAAAAGATGTGCTACTAACGTCAATAATAAAAAAAAAATTAGATTAAATTCTAAAAAAGTGAAGTCATAATTTTTTTTTCAAACTTTTTTACACTTCTAAATGTACTTTCAAACTTTTAGATTTTTAAATTAATTTTTAACCTGAGCCCCAACCACTTTAAAAAAAATTGCCAATAACGTCAATAATAAAAAAAAATAGTATAAACCAGGACCAAATCTGCAAAACCAGGACAAAACCAGTACACGAGTAAAACAAGGACACATTAGCAAAAACCAGAACCTGTCCTGGGTAAACCTTATGCTTAAAGTTAATAAATAAATTGTATTTTTAAGATTAGTTTTTGTAAACTAATATTTAATCAATTTTTTTCATTAATTTCAATAAATATTAATTAAACGAAAATTAAAAATATAATTTATAAACTAAAGTAAGTAATTTTAAATTTCGTACATATGTCAAAAAACTTGCCATTGACTAAAAAGTTTTTATTTATTTATTTAAATAGATGTAAATCTGAAATCAAAGATCTCTTCTGATAACATATTTAACAAAAATGGTAGCAAAATTTAAAAGTTAATAAGTTGTTAACAATTAATTTAAGTCTAAATATGAAATCAATTTTTATTTAACATTTAATTTTATTTATTTCATATATATTCTTTAATTTTAATTGTAAACATTTTTATTTTATAAAATGTTTCTTAATTTCAGAGCACCCTGTACCATTGGATTTAATTTTTTAGCATGAGTTTTTATGTAATTTTTGTTTTTTTAAGGCATATTAAAAGCAATTGGCAACACAACATTTGGTGATAATGTCATATTTCATTATTATAAATAAATATACCTAAATGTACCCATAAAATTTTTAATTTATTTAATAATAACCTACCTTGCAACTAGCAGCATTAAACCCATGTCGAGGAAAGCAATTTTTTTCAAAAATAATAATTTTGCTTTCATTTTGTCTTGAAACAGCCACTGCGATCATATTGCCTTCAGATTTGAAGGAAACTGGCTCAAGCAAACCATTTGTACGTTTTGAAGTCCAGCGTGGCTGACATTCTTCATTAAATACCTTCAGGTATCTATTCCCATCTTTCCAGTAGTTAACGACAAAGTATTCAGCATTGCCTCTGTACGATATGGTTGGAGGAGAATAGGTGGTTTTTTCCTCTAAAAAAAATTACAAAAATATATATTTATATGGTTAAAAAGATTAAACAAGTTACCCTCCATATCCTCTCCGTATAAATCATTAGCTAAATGTCCCTTAAACTGGGTTTCTTGATGTCCCCATCCAACATAAATTGAGTTTGGAACATCATCGTTCAAGCTGGACGTGGCATGTGGGGTCCAATTCAAATCACTGATATTCGAATAAAATTGCGCTACATCGTAATTCTGGTAGATTAAAAGCACTGTGGTTCCCTGTGGATTCCATTCTGCTGAAATTATTTTTGGACCCGGTACAAAAATGTCTATTTTTCCAGTAGGTAGATCCACAATAACAACTTCATTGTCCGTCACCACACCAACAATATTGTCCAAGCAATTAAAGTACAACTTCACAACTTTATCGCTGTATTTATCCAGCGAATGAGTTGAGGTTATGATGCCATGCTCATGCACGTAGAGAATATTATTTTTTATGTAAATCACAAAGTCATTCTCGTATAAGCCGTAAATGACGTCCTGCAAGTCCAACGGCACTTTCTTGCGATGAAATAACTCCAAGTTATTCATTTTTACTGATGAAAATATTTATTTCATCATTCGAAAAAGGATTTTCACTAACCAAAACTACACAGGTTAACGCTCACACTTTCGGCCAAACTGGTGGGAAAAATCTGGCTCGGCTATTTATATCCTCTGATACCAACCTAAAGAAAATAAAAAATGACAAACTTGAATGTTAAATATCTTCGTAAATAAACAATTTTATGAAAATGTAGCTATAAATTATTAAACCCTAGAGTATTTTCCGTATATTTATATCAATACTTTTTAAAAAACCGTTAATTTTTTCTTAACCCGGTTAAATTTAAAATGTCAGGGGCGTATCAACAAAATTTTACTCAAAAAATATTTATACTTTTTGACAATCGTTTCTTAAAAAATTGCTTTAAATGCTATAAATTACAGATAAACGCTATAAATGAGGCAATTTAAGCATTTAAATTTTGTAAAAACAATTAAAATTAATAATTATCATCGGTCTTACTGCGCAGCATTCGCGCATATCCAAGTTTTACCGCGTTAAAATGCGTAAATTATTGCAATTTTGATAAAAAACTATTTATCAACCCTTTTACTACATATTGTCACTAAAAACACCCCGAAAAACAAAGTAGAATCTGAAAATTTAAGGGTTAAAAAAATGCAATGACAGCTGTCAATATTTTTTTAATAAATGCTAATAATTTTGTTACTAAATGCTTTTTTAACGTTGTTTAAGGTTTTTCTTTGCCTGGACATTAGTTTTCATGAAATTGATTACCTATTTTTTCAATTAAACCTAGTATTATTGATAATTTGACACCTAACCTTACTTTTCTCATTTGTATCCCCTTTAACAATCGTTTTCTATACTGAAAGTCTATTTAATATATAATTTACAATATTTAAGATATATCAAAAGTATTTAGTACCGCCCATGTTTTGGATATTCTGCGCAAACTCAGTTGTGACCAGTAGGTTTAAAGCATTTGAATTTCATTGAAACTCTCGACTTTTAGGTGTTTATTTTGTGTGGAAACCAAAAAAATATCTTAAATTATGGTTTAGTTGGTGAAAATTACGTTTTACTTTGATTAAATTTACATTCCCACTTTATATGACTTCTACGAAAGTTATGTGTTCATATGATCAATTTGGTTTCAAATATTATTATTTAGGATTTGGTTTAATAATATTAAAATAGGATTAAAAAAAAAATCTTACCTGGGATGTTTTCCAAATTCGTATTAAGAAAAATAACCATTTTTTGATAAATTTATGTATTTTTAAATAACTCAAAAATATACATAGACTTTTAATTATAAAAACAGAAATTTGCATCTCAGAACAATTGGCATAAGCGCTTAAAGTTAAATAACAAGGGCATGACTATTTAAAACCAGTACAAAAAACAATATGTGCAAAGGGCGTTTTTTAATATGGTTTTCGGTTAAAAATATTTGGTGTCCATCTGCTAGGTTTTAACCCGTCTTGTTCCCGCTTAGCGGCTGCCTGTGCTTCGAGCTGATCAATAAGCTTTTTTTGCTTCTCTCTGAAAGCTTCAATTGGGTCTTCAAAGACGCTGTAGTTTTTGAGGACTTCCCTTACATCTTCAATATCATTATCGGCAATTGCTGAAAAATACAATCATCATGTAAATGTTAATATTTATTGTAAAATTTACTTTTCAAAAACGTGCTGAGGTCCATCAAAGAAGTGTCGTCATCATTCCCACCCCATCTCTTAATATGGAACAAGTTTTCAGGGTTGAACTTGACATTCTTTGAATTCCAATCGACACAAATAACTCTACTCAAATCTCTGTTAAGATTGTTCAAGCTTTTAACGTGATGTCCGCCCGTAAAATGAGTCGCATCTCTCACCAATTTATAAGAAATAAGACTCTTAGGATCAATGGCATCGATTAGAGGGAACACAGTCATTCCTTGTTCGGCTGTGTAAATAACAATCTCATACAGACCATGCAGAGATTCGAGGAAATAGTCCAAGCCAGGCCTCTTTTTAAATCTCCAGCCAGTATTATAAGTCCAATCTGGATGGACTAAAACATCAGTCAATTCCAGGACAAGAGTGTATTTTGGCTGAATGTATGGAGGCTCCACTGGATCCGGCAGTAATTTCTCCCTTGAGGGTTCTTTTATAAGCTAAAAGACATTAATGAACACGTTTATTTACCTTTGTAAAATGTTATACAATGAACTTACTCGTCTGTAATAGTCTAGTTCTCTGTAGGTTCTTATTAGGTATTGAGAAACAATACTTTTGTTCTTCAAATCATCTACGACAACTTCTCCATCATTGTCGATCTCGGGGGATCCCAATTTGACAATTATATACCCTCCTAGGAATACAAATGTAAAGCTAAATGCGAACAAAGTCCTTTTCATTCTTCTCCATGAAGTCTCTCTCTGTTTTTGTTGCTCTTCATCATCCTCTTGCAACTTTTCAATGTTATCTTTATTTATCAAATTCCCCAACGGTGACTTACTCTTAACATCTAAAATATCGCATATATTCGCTGAAATAAAACAACTTATAACCTCACTTACCGTCAGAATAGGATTTCTCAAACAAACTATATGGTATTTTGACTATTCTACAGTTTGACTGGTCCAAGAAGACTTGCGGCTTCTGTTTCAACAACGTACAAATCACACGCGAAATTCTCAACATTTTTGCGGCTTTTTTCAACAAGAAATAATCACATTTCCATTTCAACTTCAAACATAACCCTAAAACTATTGACACGGCAGCGCACTGTTTTACCGGCTTTTATTGATTCGAACCAAGAAGACCAAATAAAGGAGTTAATTTTACATAACCCTTTTTAATCTCCGTTATTTATAGCCAGATTTAAAAGAATTAAAGTTTCTTAAAGAGTTTAGTTTAATTTTTGTATCGAACATTTTTAAATCAAGAAAATAGCGGAGCTAAAAGGTTCGTGCAAAATAAAAAATAAATCGATAATTCGAACAAAAAGGCCCTGAAAAATAGGTATATACAGGGTTCCCCATAATAGGCTACCCATTTTAACATTTGAATTAAAAATGTTTTAGTTAACAAAACAAACTTTTTATTATACTAAATTACAGATAACTCTTTGGGATTTATGATAACTTATAAATATTTGGCTAATTTAATTTTAACTTTTAAAAATCACGTCTTCTAAATGACCTCCACCAACTTCAACACATTTTTCAATATTAGATAAAAAGTGGTAAAGTCGTAAACGCAATTCTAACTCGTTCAATATTTTCTGGTGTACGAACTGTTCTTCAAATTTTGTACAGAACCATTTTCACGCCAATGACGAACCCATAACTTAACAATTTTACGATTTGGCGCGTGACCCCTATTGTTGTTATTAAACTGACGCGGGAATTCACGCCTAACTTCTTCTATCGAATTGCTTCTTATGTAAGTTTCTACACAAAACCCACGTTGTTGGACTGAGTAATCCATGAAAGTTCAAACGGATGTTTAAATAATGTCTCAAAGCAAAAAAAATATTAAATAATTATTGATGAAAACTAACAAACTTCTCGTAGAAAAAATGACATTCCAGGAAATTATTAATTTAAAACTTATTTGTGACAGGCGCCTACTTGATTAATAATTAACTTAAATCCCAAAGACTATAGAAGATATTCCCATAGAGAACAACTTATTAAGTTATCTCGTAGGGAATTTATTAATAAAATAAAATGGGTAGTCTATTATGGGGAACCCTGTATTTAAAAAAGTGTTAGTCTTGATGAGATATATCAAAATATACATATTATTTTCAAAAAATAATACTAAATTATCGTTAAACTGACAGATAGATAACCAAAATTATTTGTATTCAAATGTCAAGGTGGGACTTTATCCTGTATTTAGTCTTCATGATTTGTACCATGATTTACTATTTTTCTTTATGAACTGTGCTATTTTACTTTTTATTTCAGGAAATTGATAGGTTATTAATATATAAAGAAAATAAAATAGAAGTTTATTTTATCACAATGAGTTTTTCTACTTTATTAAATAAAACTAACTAAATACATCATAGATCACAAATCTGTAGTATACCTTTATATAAAAAATAAATACCAAACCCAATCACAGTGGTTTTGTTGTTAGGTACAATTAAAAAATAAACTCCAAATGCATAAAATTATTATTATTCGTTTTCACAACAACTTCGAAGATTCCTTATTTTTGATAGAGATGGATTTTAAAAGTAATTTTTCATGAATTTTTTGACTTTTTCTGCAACACTTAGTTTGTTTTCTTTGAATTTGTAATTTTTCCTTTGTTTTTTTCTTAAACCTGCTCTATCAAATAGCCATTCTCCTTGCCTTTCGTTTTTTCGTATATTTAAGCGATTTTGTCCTATATTAGTGTACCAAAACCCTGGCATCGATTTGTTTTCCTTAATGTATACATTATCAGGATTTCCAACTTTAATATTTTTAATGCCTCTATTTACTTTGTGATTTTCTTCTTTGTATGATTTAATTTTTTCTTTATGTGTTTTCACAGGTTCTTCTTTTTTAAACTTCTTATAGTGATCCTTTAATTTGTAATGTTTTTTATTATTATCCATAATTTTTTTATTGCTGTCAAAATGTTCTATTTTCTCGTCATTTTTTTCATTTTGTTGCATATTTTTTAACTTTATTTCCACTCTATGTAGCTCATGTTCCTTTTTAATCAAAAACTCCTCCTTCTGTTTTAAATATTCCTCCTTTATCTTCAATTGCTTTTCATCAAGAGTACCATTATTTTTCTTGTTCTTATTTTTTTTATCTTTATTTTTCCCGACTTTATTAAAACACCTTTTGCACTTCTTAACATTAACTTCTCTATAAATCCCATCTTTCTTATGTTTTTCTTGACAGTACACTATAGGGTCATAATTATTACTTAATTCTGTTGATTTCAAATCTTTTTCATACATAACAATATCGTCTTCGTTTATGGTTGTATTGGAAAAATACGGCGACAAAAATATGGACAACACAGCAAGTGAAACTGTCGACATTACCAAAAAATTTCCGCAGTATTTTTTCAAATCCCACCACTCAAACCTCTGTTTTTCTATTGGCGGTAATTCCTCTAAAACATTCCCTGGATCCAAATAGTCATCAGTATCGCTTATTATACTAATTCCATCGGATTCCATTTCGAGGTCAGAATGCAGAGAACCCAATTCTTGCTCAGACAACTCCTGAACAGGTTCTTGCATGCAATTTAAGTAGAATTTTTGGGTCGGCGCTTCATTGATTAAATTGTCCTCTACAAAAGTCCATTTTGGTGCATTTTTATCCACTATTCCATCCTGCAATTAAGAAATAAATAATATTACGAAAAAATTGCAGTGTGAACCAACCCTAATTGGTATAATTGACAGCTGTGTTTTGGCTTTGAGGTTATGTTTTTTTTCATTATTTGCCTTTAATTTAATTTAATATTTGAACAATCTTTATAATCATATTTACGTAGGTATATGTTTTTTATTATTAACAATTGTCTTATTTTTCATTGTAGCTTACTTTATTCATTGTTTTCAAGCATATAATGTCTTAATTCCACAAATAATTTTGTTTTATTTGACGTCAATTAAAAACAAGGTCAAATAAAATATATTTGATAGTGCTGCCTATAATAATATATATTTATTGATAATTTTACGGTAAAAAAGTTATTGATTAAAATACAAATATAAATGTTTTTCAAACAACAAAATAAAACTTGTTTTTTAAAACGTTAAAATATTAAAATATATATCTTACAAAATAAAATATTTATATTCAGCAAAATTTATAAAAAAGTACTTTTATTTCACATAAAAATGAATTGAGAATAAATAATAATTATCTTCATGGTATTATAATTAAAGTTATGTTAATAAACAATTGTGTAATGTGTAACATTTTATTTACATTTTTAAATTATTAAATGGGTAAATATTTTTATTGTTTATTAAGCATTTGAATATTAATTATTTCCTTTTAAAAACAAGTCATGGAATAAAGGTAATTGTATGCTAATAAAAAACCCACAAAATTAAATTCTTATTAAATAAAATGACTTACTTTAATTGTAGCATTTTCATCCTCTGTGTTACTGTCATTTACGTTAGTGTCACTTATAACACTTATACTGTCAGACTCCACATCTGACTCTATGTTTTCCTTAATTTCTTCAATTTTTTCGGTTTCTTGGACAATTTCTTCTTCATTACGATCCAATGCAGTTGCCTCTTCAGCTTCTTCAATGTGGTTTACCAAAATCCAGCTGTTTTGCAAAGAGCCAGGCTCAGATTTATTGTTATCTGTCATTTTGCTAAAAATCAAAGGTTTTAGATAGTCATTTAGATTATATTTTCTTAGGTGGGGATATAGAACGACCATGAAGCCAAATGATGAAGTTTTTTAATAAAACCAACAAAAACGTACCTGATTTTATGATTTCAGCATCATAACTTTGATAGCAACACTTAAACAACCATTTTATTCATTTGAGTAATAAATGAGTGAAAGTTCTAATAACATTGAGAATGAAATGCACATTTACCATCAATATAGAACGTAATTTAACGTTTTTGCTATGTCTTTATAAGCGTTTATATTTAGCACCACCACACTATATACACATTGATATAAATATACTTCTTTGTCTTTATAAAACCAGATCTTTGCGAATTCTGTCCATTGTTATTGTTCTAAAAATGTTGAAATAAATAAATGTCACATCAAAAAGTGACATCTACAAAAATAATAACCTCAAAATATGCCCGACATTACAGATTTCTGCAGTTATGTCACAAGCTTCCTCGCTCGAGGAGTGATGGCGCCACAATAAACTTTTGAATGGAATATTCAAGAAGACTAGAAACCGAGAAAATTATTGTTTTATTCATTATAATTATTTGATTATTTTGAATTCAAAATCTCATACTTAAGTAAGTCTTATCTTGCTGAATAATTTGTATGATATACCTGCTGTTGTGGCCTAAGTGGCCGCAATAAAACTTTTTGAATGGAATATATTCAAAAAGACTAGAAACTGGGATTATTTGAAATTCTAAATGTTTTCTTCAGTAAGTTAGGCTTACACTGAATAATGCCTGCAAATATATAAAAAAGTTTTAAACACCCCTTAAAAGACTTAATTAAATAATTATAAAATTCCTTTAATGCCTATCATCTGTCAAATTCTAAATTCTGGTCTTTACCTGGCGATAAATGGCGTTTAAAATTTTCCCCGCCCAATTTTTGGGCTGCCAAAATTTTTAACGTAAAAATGTGTAAAGACCGATCTGCCAATAAATAATTTGATATCGTTTTATTTTTAAATTACACTTAATTGCTTTAAAAAAAATCTGATATATTTAACACCCATATGTCGGTTAATTATTTTTAACTACACTTAGGTAGATCGTATGATAGCACGGGATTTGTTATGTTTAAAACCATAACGAATTACGAATAAAGAATTCAATAGCCCAAATGTTTTGGGTAAATTTTTATTGTTACATAATAAGGATAATTTTAAAAATCTTGCGGTTAAGAAAATATTTATTTATAATTTAAGTTTATATTGTAAAGTTTTGATCTTCGTTGAATAGTATTTGATTTGCTTAAAATCCAGATGATAAATTGACCAAGTATATTAATGATGGGCTATGGTACGACATTAAAATGACAACTTATTATGGATATTCATCAACCTGGGTGGCCATAAAACTTCAATTCAATGAGATGCCGCACTCTCTTGCTGATAAATAATGATATAAGGTCTATTTAATCGCAAGAAGGACTACTGATTGGAAGCAGAAGCACTTTTTAGCTGACAAAGGCTTAAAATATCGTCCTTAATGCTTTGACTTCGACCGAAATAGTTTGCCACAATCATCATTTTTCATTTACAATCAGCTAATAATTGTTCACATTTCGTTTTGTTATTCTTTATATTTTGTCCGAGTCATTTCTTAATTACCCCATCTGGTACAAGAAGACATCCACAAAATATGTCCGAAATTTAGATTCCTCACCAATATATTGTTATATATTGTTATAACACCAACGTTTTTTTAATAATTTCTATAATAATAATAATTTCTGGGAGGTTTCTCAACACAGATTTTTTTTACTATTTCTTTCTTAAATCTATGTACACATTTTGAATGACTATAAAATTTGGTTAAATTTTAATATTATACTGCGCTGCTGGTCATAATAAAACTAGTGGGGAAAGAATAATAGGTAGTACCGCCAATAGGTCCTCATTAGGATGTCTAGCTAAGGCCATAATTCAAAGGCAATGTCAAATATGGCGCTGTTATTAGTACTTTTATGGGCTGTCAAAGAGTCCAAGCTGTGGCAATCTTGGCGACCTATAATTATAATACTTGAAATTTTCGAAGCTTTTTTAACTATAATTCAGTGGTTTGACAGAAAAATTAATCTAATAAAAGGATTTCTTAGTATTGTAGTCTTCGGAATATACAGGGTATATAAGGAAATGAACATAATTGGTGTGTGGCGGCATTTTGAAAAATATTTTGCGCAGTGTATCGAATGAAGTAAAGTCTAAAAATATTTGTCTGTGTTTTGAAATATGGTACAATAGTTGTTGAAACATAATCTTATGAAGGCAATTGTATTATAAAAACGGCAACGACTGGCTTGGTGGTCCTTAGTAATTGTCTATAAATAAGCTTAGAAAAGTATTTACTTTGTCATATTTCACGAGCAAATGAACATGTCATAACCTATTATCAGGTACGGCTTAGTTAAATGGTCACGTCAATAATTTGCCATTTTTATTTTCAGCAGAACTATTACTCGAAATTAAGCCAATTTGTTTTTTGGATAATTATCCAGGTAGTTTTAAGGACGTGTTTATAAGTACGTAAAGTATGTGTATGATTGTAATTTATTTTCGGTCTACAAATAGGAATGGCGTGTTCGGATAGAAGTTACGAGGTTTCGCATGTAAAGATGCCATCTGCAGATAAAGGTAATTAGTGTGCTGACTAGAACCGTGTGTAATACACCACATCTCCCTACCAATACCTACCTCACAAATTGCCATTAAAATAAATAAATTACATAATCGATTTCTAATATTTTTGCCCTAATTATTTTTTTATATTAAACTAAACTTATTGATAAGGTTTTAAAAGTAGCTCAGTATCTGAGCACAATTCAGCGCGCGTCGGAAAAATGTCAAAATGGAGCATGAGTGAATATCATTTTATTCTTTACCTGTGAGGATTGAAACGGCAATCGTCGAAACAGTAGCTGATTATAGTTTGAATGCTATGATTATGATTTTGGGCAAAAGACCTTTTGGTGGCAATAAAATGGTTCACAATTGCCCCGACAATTATATATTAAAAATTAAAATAATGGCAGGTAAGCTTAATAATAATCTATGGCCACAACTGCCTCAGGCTGTGGAGAAGCACGCGATTTAGAGAGAATTTTGGAAAATTACAGGTTTACGCCAACTGAGACACTTTGATAAAAAGTCAAATAAGTATAATAAAGGTATGCTTTATAATACTTAATCCGCTTATTACTTATTCACAATTTTAATATTACTACTAATAAAATTAGAGCCGCAAGGTTTCTTAGAAAAAATTGTACCCTGTATTTTACATTTTTAAACTGAGTATTTTTTCTTAAATTTTCATACATGGGTGAATATATTGACATGTCCCCCCAGTGAAAATGATTTTTTTTTATTTTTTGTTGTTTCACTGTTAGTCTAGAACATAACATAAGTGGTTCTGCACTAATGCAAGAATATTAAGAAATCATACATTTTGAATATTAGAGCTTCACGGAAGATAGCTTCACGGATGTTAGGATTTCGTATGTTTTTTAAAACATCCCTTTGTATATTTGAAATAAGTTATTGTATCTTTTGACACCTTAATATTTTTTAAAAATACATAAAATATTTATAAAAAAATCTACTTACTGAGATATTACACTTCACGGTGGATAGGTTTTTAAATGGCAAGTTAATGAACTTAAACTTTTGAATTATAAAACAGCAACACTCCCATCTGCACATAAAATCTAAGTGACCTTCAGGAATCACATGCATCTATAATGTCGTAAACTGAGGTTTTTGCTTATTTAAAGTGATTAAAGCGCCATCCTTTGCATAAAATTTAAAGCAAAAACAGATTCACGGAGGATAGAATCAATTTTTGTAACACCTAAATAAATGGTTATACAAATTATTTCTTTAAATTTTTAATAATATTTTATATTTGATTCGATTGCTTTGGATGTGTTTACTTTACTTAGTGAACTGATATTTTTAGTATGCTTTTACTATAGTATACCTCAGATATTTGAAAACATATAGGTTAACCTAGAAAGAGTAACAATCACGGAGGATAGGTTTTAGACTTTTAAAACATTGTAAAAAATAAAAACACAATAAAAGTGTAGGTTAAACTCATTTAGTTTTATTAAATAACACGGGAAAACACCATCGTGAGATTCACCCATATCTATAGAAGCATTACATCAATTGGGGTCGAATATGGATATAAAATATTCTTTTAAAGTCCTTGGTGCGCATATGAAAAATGACCCGGTCATTGATTGTTTGACGATTTTTTATCTGTCATTTCGAATAATGATACTACCCAAGTGTTTAGAGTATTATATGTGTTATAAATAATGCCACAATGATAAAAGTGACGAGGAATTTGAACGTTAAAAAATTTGGGGACAACCGATGATTAATTGTTATTTTGAAGCTTCTGTGCATCTATTGAGGAATTTCAGGATCAATGTACCTGTATGAATATTGTTATCAAACTTAAGATTGGGCTCTATCAAAATGTAAATTGTTTCCCCTTGTGTCGCTAATTCCCCAAGGAATCCAAAAAAGCCCTTTGCCATTGTCCGCATACAGAATTGACGAATCACCTTATATCAACGCACCGAAACGCCTTTGTGAATGATAGATAAAATATGAGTTTTTCCAAATGTTCTCATACCTACTTTGAAGAGATTTATACAATAATTACATGACCATTATAGAAATACTAAATTGTGTAAATTGAGTAAATTGTGTAAATCAAAATGATTGTGAGTCATGGTTGTACTTTGGGGATCTGACTGAGCTAGAAATCAATATATCTTCGGTAACGCGATGGCCTTAAATAAGATTTAACGTTTTGTTTTGATAAGTGTTCTATTTAAATGAAGGTATAGGTAGTGGCGGCGATCTATTTTTTGTGGCCTTCAGGTCTCAACGTTTGGTCGGTCTTTGTAAAGAGGCCTGCTGCCTAGTAAATAATGAGTCTGTGTGACTTACAACAGGGGGGCATGCGAGACTTTGGCCCCAGGAGGGCGTATTCATTTCCAATCACCACTGGATACTGACTGGATCTGTTTTAATTTCCACAAAGAAATATATTGTTTTATAACACTTTGTTATCTAATATCAACTAAAAAATTCATCAAATTGATAAAATTACCCCTATGTAAATAAAATGAAAATTCAGTTGGTATAGCGACAATCCTGGAATTGTTTAATAAAGTGTGAATCCTTTTAGTGAAAATCAAAATCCAGATGTAAATTTTGAGGACCCTCTCTCTTACATAACGACTACATAAAATTAAGTAAAGTGGGGTTGGTGTTCTGAATAGAAACTGTTTATACATATATATGTAAAACGTTTTACTTTAGGTATGTTCATT